CGGGGGAGAACCCTGCTACCTTACCACTACTAATTTAAAGAAACACTGCTTTAATATTAGGAAAAGAAAGTTGCTAGTGCAATATTCACAACTTCTTGATTTATGTAGCATGTTGTCTATTCTTTTCAACTAAATACAAAGCAAATCATTTTTCATTGGGAATTCAAATGAAGTGTTAACTTGTTTTAGAATTGCTTGGTGCAACAAGTTATCATCAGTTATCTGATGGTACTTTATTTTACTTTGTTCAGTTGATTCTTTCTCTCCAGTTTTTTAGGTTCTTAGTGACTGGTAACAAATTCAGTATGCTCGATTTTCATGTCATGTGTCTTTCTTTACTCATTGTGCCACCTCACTGGCCCCTCAATTTGCTTTTTAAACTTGGAATTCCAAATAAAAAAAAATAAACTTAAAAATAAATAAAATTTTATTTTCCCCTTGTTGGTGATCTCATAAGCATCTTTTCTGTGGTATTCGTCCAGTGGGTCTTTGTTTGTCTGTGTGTGCATTTGTGATTGCACCTGTGTATGTTTCCATGCTTTTTCAGTCAGTCAGGTGGACATATCAGTTGATGAGTATTGTAGTATTTCCACTTGTGGCTCCTATCATTGTATTGCTGTGATTATAGCTTGGCTTGGCTGGATCCATTATTAATTGTGTTTAATATTTTAAGAATCAGCCAAGCATGTTTACTATTTATGTTCCAGCCAATATTGTATACCCTAGTTGCCATAATAAGGTTATTTGCTGTTTTCACAGCCAACAGCCTGTGAAGTTAATATGTTCCCTTGGTGTTTATTTCTGTTTTCCTAATAATGTGACTAAGAGCTTTCTGTGTGATTATTAGCCATCTTGTACTTTATTTGCATAGAGGTCAATTAAAGCCTATTCTACCTGTTTTTATTGAGTTTTAAATGTCCATTGTTTAATCTGGATACTGATTTCTTAGCAAGCAGGCTTTAACACATTTTCTGCCAGCAAGTGGCTAATTTTCCCTTTCCTGCAGTGCTGCATGCAAGGTGTTCTAATTCCGGTCAAGTTATGTGTCTCTGTGACACTTGTGCTTTTGTGGTATTGTATAATTCATGGTGGTAAATATTGATGATCATTTTGTAGTTTTAATTTGTATTTAAGGCTTTCATTGATTTTAACTCGCATTTTATTCATGCAAGTCATCATGCAGAAACAGAGTGTTGGAAGCATCTATACTTGTGAAATGCTCAAGCATACTTGAAAATGCAGAATACCTTTCACCTCCAAAGTTCTGCTTGTTGCTTGTTTTAAAATCCGTTTGCTTCCAACAGAACAGCTCTAAGAAACTTAATAACTGCTCATAAAAATTTGTAATTGGAGCAGTACTTTTTTTTTTTTTTTTTTTTTTTTTTTTTTTTTTTTTCGGCAAGGGGTTTTTTTTTTTTTTTTTTTTTTTTTTTTTTGTTTTTGTTTTTCGAGACAGGGTTTCTCTGTGTCTTTTTCTCTGTGTCTTTGGAGGCTGTCCTGGAACTAGCTCTAGTGGACCAGGGTGGTCTTGAACTCACAGAGATCTGCCTGCTTCTGCCTCCCGAGTGCTGGGAGGCGTGTGCCACCAACGGCTGGCTGGAGCAGTACTTTTAAATAGCCTTTTGTATTTCCTTTTTGTTTCAATATTTCTTAATGTTGCAGAATATAGGTCAGCAGTCAGAGATTTCAATATTGTTGATATTGATTATTTTATATGACATATTGCAGTTGCTTATCCACTTGCTTGTTGATGGACCTTAGAACCTCCGGTTTTAGTATGTTACAGGTAAAGAAGCTATGGACATGCATACATAAGATTTTTTTGTACATAAACTTTTGGTTAAATTCTAGGAAATGAAATCACTAAGTAATGTTGTAAGTGAAAATTTAAAATTCATCAGAAGTTGCCAGCAGTGAAGATCTACTATAAAACATTAAAGGGAATTTCCTGTATTCTACATTCTTACCAGTAATTGCTTTTGATTAAGTCTAAAATTTGAGACTTGTTCGCTTTTTCAAGACAATGTTTATGTTTGTAGCCCTCACTGTCCTGGAACTTACTCTGTAGACCAGGCTGGCCTCCAACTCACAGACATCTGCCTGGTAAATGTTTTTGGCTTCTATATTGATGGATTTTGTTTGTTTCTCTGAGACGTGGTCTTGTTTTCTAGTTCAGGTTGTCCTTGAAGTTTCATTCTGCTTCTTTAGTCCTCCTTTGTTTTGGGATCTTCCATGTGTGGTTCGATAGTATCTTTTTTGAGGAAGAAGGGTATTATAAATTCTGGGCTGGGTTTCAACACCCTATATAGCCGAGGATGATCCCAAACTCATGTCTTCACTTCTCTTGCCCTGAGATATAGGTGTGAACCACCATATTTGCTCTATACTGTGCTGGGAATCCAACCATAGATTTTGTGCATGCTAAGGAAGTACTCTATTTAACTGAGCTACACACGGAGTTCTAAACAGTATTTTCTCCCATTTACCTGTTCATTATGTATTTAGCTTGTGCATGTTACATGGTTGTGCTTGTGCCTTGGCCTGCTCATGGAGGTCAGAGGACAACATAAGAGTTGATTCTTTTCTTCTAGTATGTGGGTCCCAGGGATTGAAGTCCGGTCCTCAGACTTGGTGGCAAGCACTTTTACCCATGAGCCTATCCCACCAGCCTAACAGTATCTTTTAAAAGGTGTTTTTAATTTCACGTAAAATCATATTTGATTTAAGTAATATATTCCAAGGTCACAAAGATTGTCCCTTCAGTGTTTCTTTTGGTGTTGGGTGGAGATGTGTATGTTATATGCATGTGTGTCTGCTAGTAGGCTCTCCACTTTACCTTTATGTAGAGGCCAGAGGTTTACCTCCAGTGACTGTTGCTGTCTGCCTTATTTTTTTGAGTCATAGTCAGTCATTGAACAGTGAGCTCAGTTTCATCTAGTTGGTTGAAGAATGAACCCTCTGGATCGACTATCTTCTGCATCCTCCCTCCAGCTAGATACACTGTAACGTGTTACCACACTTGACTCTTTTGTAGGTGTTTATTGGATCTGAACTTAGTTTCTCTTGTCTGCACAGGAAACACTTTACTTACCTGGCCATCTTTCCAGCCTTCTCTCCTGTTTACAATTTTCTGTGTATAGTGTTTGTTATGTTACATTTGAGTTAACTCCTGAATGTAAAAGATAAGTTTGCATTAGTTTATCTACTTCTTATATAACTATCTAATTTTACTAATACCATTTACTGAAAATAATTTTCTTTTTAATTTGAATTTTATTGATGAGATTTCGAAGTTTAGTAACATGATATTGCTATTGCTCAAGGAAGGATGCTTTTTCTCTGGTAGATAGATGTAATTGTACCACTTAGCATTGGACCCAGGGGACTAGGAGGCCAAGGATTTATTGTTGTGAAACTTCTGAAATTCTTCTGGTGTATGTAAATGATGTTCCAATGAAGTTTTTTAAAGACACTTTCTTGTTTTATTATTAGAGCTCAAAATTCCTTGTATTATTTTGCTACTTATTCTACTGAATGAATCTTTATGTCAAGTAATATATGGTAAGATTTTTCAGTTGAATATCCTCTAGAGCAGTAGGGAATCCCTATGGTCTGAAAATATTAAGCTGGTCTACATAGCAAGTTCAGGCCAGCCAGATCAACAATAGTGAGACTGAGCCTTAAAAGAAAATTTGCTAGCGTGGAATAAATGTATGTAATAATTTATTCTGAAGCTCATCATATTGGTGAGTGGGCTGACAACTCTTTGTTGTTTTGAAATGACTTTTTCCTTGGCTTGGAAGTCACTATGTAAATCAAGCTCTAGCCTTGAACTCAGAGATGCTCTGCCTCTGCCTTCTAGGTGTATGGATTAAGGATGTGCACAACCATGCCTAACTCCTAGTTAGCATTTTCAATAATTTTGAAAAATACATTCATGTTTTTCCAGAACCCATGTGAATATCTATTATTATCTATTATTAAGTAAATTTTATATTAGTTGCATCAAAAACAAATGTGTTATTTCTAATTTATAAAAATTTATAAAATTAATACTAGTCATAGCTTTTGAGTGCAACACTCTCTGTACTGCCCACTGTATTTGCTCTTGAGTCCATGGCAAGTGTCTAGAACCTGTAGTGAAAACTGGCTGCAAATCAGAATGAAATGCATACCTTATTTGATTAATTAACAACTCTAGCCTTGTGAATTGTATGTAGGAATTAGCTGTCTGTGGTGAGAAGACTGTTGGAGTATTTTATGTTCTTTTATCACTCTTTATTCTTTGTTGTTGTTTGTTGTTTTCCTATTTATTTATTTATTTGTTTATTTGTTTGTTTGTTTGTTTTTTGGGGGCAGGGTTTCTTTGTGTAGCCCTGGCTTTCATAGAACTAGCTCTGTAGACCAGGCTGGCCTTGAGCTCACAGAGATCTGCTTGTCTCTTCCAGACTTTATGCTTGGAGGATTGAAACAAAGTGTACCCATGGAGTATGCTCAGCTGAAATCTGTTTACTTTTGAACCATTGAATTAAGACATTAATGCCCATTTGCCAATATTATGCTATATACAGAAGAGTAGTTTTCTCTATAGTGTGTTACATATAATTACCCTTCCCAATCAAGCATACATATTGAGTTATAAATTCCAGGTGGAGAGGTAAAACTAGTAGCCATGATACTGTGGCTACCAGAGGAATGATTGAAGGACCCTCTTGGTGATTGAAATAATGCCTATGAAAATTATCTTTAATCTGTTAAAAATTATCATTTTAATGCAGAACTTTCTTTGCCATCCACATTTATTAGAAGGAGTTCATTTTGAGAGTTTCATTTTTTAATGGAGCATTTTCTTAAAATAAAGTTACATATTTTAAAAAAGTCGTCTAGCACATTGGAAAACTAGCCCTCCCTTTTTTTTTTTTTTAATTTTGAAGTTGTATAGTGGTCATACCTATTAAATAAATGGAAATAGAGAGCTGACATTGTTTTCTTGTTCACAGTGGCAACTAGATTGTCTTGCTTGCTTGCTGAAATTAATCTGCCAGTTTGCAGTAGATCCATCTGATTTGGATTTAGCTTATCATGATGTCTTTGCCTGGTCTGGCATAGCTGAAAGCCACAGAAAAAGAACCTGGCCTGGAAAATCAAGAAAGGCTGCTGGTGATCATGCCAAGAGTCTTCACATACCACGATTAACAGAGGTAAAGTTCAGAAATTAGCATTACATTTTCTAATGAATTTTCCTTGTTTTGAGAAAGCATGTGGTTTGTTTTTTACAAAGGGAATAAATACACAAATATATAAATACTGTTAAAAGTTACTGTGAAACTACCTAGCAGTGTTATGATTTGTAATTGTAGTGATGTATTGGTAATAATTTTCAGTTCTTCATTAACAGGAATGCATGATGTGGCATTTTAATATGTTACCTAACCTTACATTCACACATATTATTATAACTTAGTAACTTACATTCTGAGTATATCATAGTCCATTCAGGGAAACCATTGGTATAACTGGAAAACTGAATCATGTCACTTTTGCAATGTTAGGGGTTAAATTGGAAAATTAATCTTTCCTAGTATTGTAGATTATTTGTATCTCTTAAATGTGAAATGTTCATGAATTCTAAATGCATTCCCAAGTGTTACATAGTGGGAGATACTACTTAATAATTTCTTTAATGCTTCTAGTATAGTATGTTTTTACTCGAAAAAACCCTTCACATTATAATAGCATCAAATTGATTGTGATTCTTTCCATTAACTTCTGAAACAATTTCCTTAAAAAATTATTTACTTTTATGTGTATGAGAGTTTTGCACGTATGTATGTGCACCACATACGTGCCTAGTGACCAAGGATGCTAGAAAAAAGGCATCGAATTACCTAAACCTAGAATTACATGCAATTCTGAGCCTCCATGTGGGTTCTGGGAACCAAACCTGGGGTACTCTTCAAAAACTGCAGGTGCTTTTAAGCCACATCTCTAGCCGCTCACTGAATAATTTCTGTCTTTATTGATATTAGTGATTTACAAGTATTGGTATAATGCAAGAATTGCTTGGGAAGTTTTTTAGAATGATTTGTTTTTATAATATATGCAACTAGATGACTATTGAAAAGTTAGAATATACAAATGAACCTTGTGTCTAGTCAAACAGGACTGCCATTTATACCTGTACATGCTTCTTTTTTACAGAGTTATACAGCTAGAAAACATTCTTGTGTATACTAATTTTCCAAAAAAAACCTATAGCTTATGCTGTTGCATGAATTTTAGGGAGGTAGGGAAATGAAACTACACTTTGTGTTTTGCTCTATTGAAAAAAATTTTCCTCCTTGATGTTTTTGTTTTTAAAGGTGTTTCTTGTGCTTGTCCAAGGAACCAGTTTGATTCAACGACTTATGTCTGTTGCTTATACATATGATAATCTGGCTCCTAGGTATGCATTTTTATGTTTTATATTTATGTATATGCAGTTATTAAACTTCACTTTTGAATTGAACGTGGTGGCACACACCTTATAGTATTCTGGAGGCACAGGTACGTGGATCCCTGTGTGTTTCAGGTTTACACAGTGAGTTTCCTGTCTCAAAAAAGAGAAAAGCAAAAAAATAACTACCTTCAGTTTGTAGCTAGGGATGTGGCTAAGTGGGTAAAATGCTTACTGTTGCAAGTATGAGAACTTGAGTTCAACTACAATCACCTATATAAATGTCAGGTGCTGTGGCACATACATGTAACCCTATAGCTGGGTGAGGCAGGGCTAGGAGGATCCCCAGAGCTCATTCAATTTACCCAGCACAGCAAGACCCAGCTTTAGTAAGAGAGAGACCCTTACTTAAAGATTAGGTAGAGAATAATCAAAGACACTTGACAGCAGCCCCTGGCCATGCTTGCATGTGCATCATATACATTAACACAGCAATTATCCACATCATTTTGAAAAAAAGTTTAACACAAAAACATTCTTTTTGTTTTTGTTTTTAAAGATTTTATTTAGTATACAGTGTTCTGCCTGCATGTGTGCCTGCATGGCAGAAGAGGTATCAGATCTCATCATAGATTGTTGTGAGCCACCATGTGGTTCCTGGGAATTGAACTCAGGACCTCAGGAAGAACAGTTAGTGCTCTTAACCTCTGAGCCATCTCTTCAGCCTGTAACACAAAAGTTATTAGGATTTTATAATGTATTACCCTACTTTTCGCCTAGACTTGCTTATCTTGTTAACATTTGTCAAACTTAACTTTTTATGAGTATTTTTGTGTTTGTTTCTAAATTCTAAATTCTAAGTAATTTCACGAGTATATGTTGTAGATACTGTGACTATCTTGAAATACTTGATAATTGTCTCTTAAAATTAAGGATATTTTCTTAATAACTAGGTAGGGGTGTGTGTGTGTGTGTGTGTGTGTGTGTGTGTGTGTGTGTGTGTGTGTGTGTGTGTGTGTGTACATGCTAGTGAGTGTAGTGTCAGCAGAGATCTGAAGAGGTCCAGTCTCCTGGAGCTGGAATTACAGGTGGTTGTAAGCTGCCTGATGTGTGTGCTAGGCATCACATTTGGGTCCTCAGAAAGAGCAGCAAATGTTCTTAGCTACTAGCCCTGTATAAAAACAAATTAAGTAATTCAACATTGGATTTGGAAAGATGGCTCAGTGATTAAGATTGTGTACTGTTTTGTGGAAAACTAGAACATCATCCATGTCTGGAAACCCACAATTACCTGCAGCTCTATGTCTGTGAATATGGTAACCTCTTCTGGACTCCATACTATATACACTTGAAGATAAATCTTTAAGAGAGTAAACATTGATGATATGTTTGATTTTTTTTATTTTTCTTTCTTTTTTTTTTTTTTTTTAAATATTGCTAGGCACTACTAGAGCATTCTACAATAAACTAAATCCCCAAGCCCTTGTTAGTATGGCTAACTTCATGCAAAGGCCACAGGAAGGCATGGATGCATTATTTTATTGCTCTCCATCATACTGCTTTGAAACAGGATATCTTCTTTTGCTTTGTTTTTGTTTTTCCAGACAGGGTGGTTTCTCTGTATTGCTTTGGAGCCTGTCCTGGAACTCGCTCTGTAGACCAGGCTGGCTTCAAACTTACAGAGATCCTCTTGCCTCTGCCTCCCAAATGCTGGGATTAAAGGCGTGTGCCACCAACACTGGGCTTAAACAGGATATCTTACCGAAATAAAAACTCACCTTTTCTGCCTGTCTCTGCCCTCCTATGGTGAGATCACACACAAATGCATCCATCCCCTTTATTTTACTTGTTTTCTTGGGATTCAAACTCAAATATTCATGCTTGCAGAGCACTGACCCATTGAGCCATCTCCCTAGTCCCCTAATATTTTGTTAATTTATTCTTGGTTGAGCATCATGTGAAGCTATTAGTTTTCATACTTCTTTCTTTTTCATAAGTAGGGATATTTTCCTTCATAATATTGGTATTTTAGTAGTACAGGCTATTTCCCTCCCTCCCCCCTCCCTCCCTCCCTCTCTCCTTCCCTCCCTCCCTCTGTTCTGTTCTGTTTTGTTTTAAGACAGCGTTTTTCTGTGTAACAGCTCTTGCTATCCTGGAACTTGCTTTGTAGACCAGGCTGGCCTTGAACTCATTGATCCACCTGCTTCTGCTTCTAAATACTGGGATTAAAGGTGTTCAGCACTACTGCCTGGTGCTTTTTATTTTGAAACATGATCTTGCCAGCTCTGCTTGACCTCAATCTTGCAGTACTCCTGCCTCAGCCTGTAGAGTGCTAGGGATCCAACCATGTCCCCTTTATGCCCAACTTGGGCCAGATTGTTTTGTTTTAGCACATTTTCACTTTGGGTCTTACATTTTTAGTAGTAATAGTCCAGAAGTGACATGTTTTTCCTAGTACATTCTGATGATGCCATTAGTCTATTGATGATACTAATTTTGAGAATTAATAAGCTGTCAGTGTGAAGACATGAAGTTATAAACTTACTGCTTTCTATAAAACCATAAAACTTCAATTGCCTTGAGCTTTTTTTTTAAAGATTTTTTTAATTTATTATGTATACAATATTCTGCTTCCATGTATATCTGCACAGAAGAGGGCACCAGATCTCATAAGAGATGGTTGTGAGCCACCATGTGGTTGCTGGGAATTGAATTCATGACTTCTAGAAGAGTAGTCAGTGCTCTTAACCTCTGAGCCATCTCTCCAGCCCCTGCCTTAAGCTTTTTTTCAGTAATTTTTCTTCAAATGTTAACTTTTTTTTTCTCTAAATGTTGGTTTTCCTAACAATAGGTATTACTTCAGTGTCTATTGTTAGACAACCTATTATATAAGGACAAACATTTTCTATGTTATTCATCCAGTGTAGTGTTAATTTTGATGCATGATTTTGAAATATTTATTTTGCCATATGTAGTGGCTAATGTCATTAATCCCAGCACTAGGGAGGCAGAGGCAGGTGGATCTTTGGTTTCATGGCCAGTTTGATTTATACAGTGAGTTCCAGGACAGCCAGAGATACACAGAGAAACCCTGTCTCAAAATCAAGAGAAAAGAAAAAGAAATGGGTTGGTTAATATATGGTGATCTAGTTGTGTGTCTCATATAGTCATAGAAATAATGTTACACTGTGAAACTATTTTTCAGATATTTCATAGCATGCTTTATTGGACTGAACTTTGTTGTATACAAAGAGTACACTACACATAAAATTGGTGAGATCATTCTGAAAAACCAAAACAAAACATGATCCATTCCAGAGAGCTCATTATAATCTCTGAAATACTACTTCACTCCTCATGGCCTCTTCTGTTGCCTGAGTTCTATGCTTGTAATGTGTTTAAAAGCCCTCACAGAACTAGAAGAAACCTTTTGCCTTTTTCTAAAATTTTTCTAATGCATAGATGAGCATTAAAAATACAGATATGTATAGATATCTCTTGAGATAAGTGTATTGTTATTGTGTCAGTATGGGTTATAAAAACTAAACATGAGGGCCAGGTATGTGGGTGCAACTTCTATAATATCAGCTACTTTGGAACCTGAGGCTCAAGAAGTTTGTGAGTTCAACACAGGCCTGAGCTGTAGTTGAGGATTCTGGGTTTTATAAAAATCAAAACAAAAAACAAGGATCAGCAAGATGGCTTAGTGAGTAAAAGCACTTACCCCACAGTGATACATGCTAACACACATACATACATGGTAATAAGTTATAAAAAACATGGGACTGGAGAGATGGAGCAGTGGTTAAGAACACTGATTGCTCTTTCATAGGAACTAGGTTCAATTCCCAGCACCCACCTAGCAGCTCACAACTGTCTATAACTCCAGTTCCAGGGGATCTGACACCTTCACACCAGTGGACATAAAATAAAGTTCTTTTAAAATAACCCACTAAACCAAATATGCAAATTCTTGATTGATATATTAATATGTCTATTTTAGATGTATAAATGAGTTTTAATGTCTTTAAAAATTCATATTGGAGGCTAACTATATTGTTCAGAGAGAATAAAGTTGCTAGACCACCTAGAACCCACATAGTGGAAGGTGAGAACCCACAGTAGCCTAGCTAGGTCTAAATTCTTCCTCAGCTTCTTGATGAGCTGGAATTACAGGCCTACAGCAGCCGCCTCTTAATTTTTATTTTATTTTGAAACAGTTATTTTTTTGTATCAAGGACCAAACCCAGGGCCTTTTACATGCTAAGCAGGAGTCTGCCACTGTGTGCTAGTGACATAACACCGGTAGAATCGTACTTTAGTCTGCTTTTGTTTTTCCTTTTTTAATGTCTATCAATGAGCCATTTGTTTATGATTCTTTGTTGTTTTGTTTTTTGGCCGGCCTGCCTGCCTGCCTGCCTGCCTGCCTGCCTGCCTGCCTGCCTGCCTGCCTACCTACCTACCTACCTACCTGTTATTTTTAGGCAGGGTTTCTCTGTAGCTTTGGAGGCTGTCCTGGGACTCGATCTATAGACCAGAATGGTCTTGAACTCAAAGAGATCTGCCTGTCTCTGCCTCCCAAGTGCTGGGATGAAAAATGTGTGCCATCACTGCCCAGCTACTATTTATTTTTTATGGTTTTTCAAGATAGGGTTTTCTTGTGTTACAGCCCTGGAACTCACATGCTCGCCTCTCCCTCCCAAGTGCTGGGAATAAATGCTTGTGCCACCAAACCTGGCCAAGTCAATGTGTTATTATTAGCATGTAATTATTATGCTGTGCAACAGATCTTAAAATTTATTCCTCCTCTGAGGGGGAAAAAAAGTTTTGTTTTTTTGTTTTGTTTTTGGTTTTTTGAGACAGGGTTTCTTTGTGTAGCTTTGTAGACCAGGCTGGCCTCGAACACACAGAAATCACCTATCTCTGCTTCTCTAGTGCTGGGATTAAAGGCATGCGCCACCACTGTCCAGCTCCTTTTCTGAAGTTTCTTACCCTTTGACAGCAACCGCCTATACTGCGCTCCTCTTCCATCCTGTCCTCTGAAAACCATCTTGTTGCTTTGTCAAGAATTTAATTTACTAGGGATTTTAAAATAGGTGATACCATAATCTAGTAATTATTTCTTTAAATCTATTTGGAGTGAAGTCGTAAACTTTAAAGAATATATAGAAATCATTTTTTTTTTACTTCATTGCCGATTTAATTAGTGGTGACAGCATATTTTTGTTTTACAGAGTTTTGAAAGCTCAGTCTGATCACAGGTCCAGACATGAAGGTAAGAGATCAACAAAATTCATTGTGTATTTAAATGTAATTTTTAATAATTAAAATGTATGATTGATATGGTGAAATATTTTATATTTAATAATGAGCATTGTGTCTTTATTAACACAAACCTTTATAATGCCTGTATTTTCTTTTAGTTTCACATTATTCAATGTGGCTCTTGGTGAGCTGGGCTCATTGCTGCTCTTTAGTGAAATCTAGCCTTGCTGATAGTGATCATTTACAAGATTGGCTAAAGAAATTGACCCTCCTTATTCCTGAGGTAAGGATTTAAAAAAAAAAAGAACAGACTGGTGCTTCTACTTGCACAAGTTTTTTCTTTTTTTGGTTTTTCAAGACAGGGTTTCTCTGTGGCTTTGGAGGCTGTCCTGGAACTAGCTCTTGTAGACCAGGCTGGCCTCGAACTCACAGAGATCTACCTGCCTCTGCCTCCCTAGTGATGGGATTAAAGGCGTGTACCCCTGCCACCACCACCCACCCCCTTTCACAAGTTTTTGTATTTGCATTTTCCAACAAGATCCATAATGGTACAGAAATGATCATGATTCTATTAATAATTACATTATTTGTTTACCTCTTAGATGAATCTGATAATTTAAAAATGTGACTATTAAATATTCTGTGTCATTTATACTTGTCATTAAAAATTAAAAAATTGTATTCTAGTCTGGCTGTTCCAGGTGACCACTGTATAACATCTGGGTAGTTCACTTGGAGTCTGTGAAAGTTCTGACTTAAGTACTTTCATAAGTTGCTTCTGCTTCTAAAAATAATTTATTTTGTAATTTATGTTGTAAATAACATAATTATGAAAACCTTCTTTAATCCTAATCTTTTTTTTAAAGATTTTATTTATTTATTATGTATACAACATTCTGCTTCCATGTTTATCTGCACACCAGAAGAGGGCACCATAACGGATGGTTGTGAGCCACCATGTGGGTGCTGGGGCTTGAACTCGGGACCTCTGGAAGAGCAGTCAGTGCTCTTAACCTCTGAGCCATCTCTCCAGCCCCCAATCCTCATCTTTTACCTGTATATTTTTATATTTGTTTCTGCTTTATAGCCATAATTAGGCGTTTCCTTAGCAAAATGTAAGCATATACTTCTAGGCAATATTGGCTACTTTATATGATTATATGTTGTTTATATGCACATGTATATAATCAAAATACTATATTTGCAATACCCATCTAGGTGATATAGTTCAGTAGTAGCACACTTGCTTTTCTTACATGTGCCATGTGAAAGGCTATGTGTTCAGTCTTCAAGTAAACATAAAATACCTTGCTAAAGACGTCAGTTAGCTCCTTCCTCATCTCCATTTCCCACTTCTTTTCTTCTGCCCCCCCCCCCACATATGCACGCATACACGCACGCACACACACATCATATGGCTCAGAATTCCTCAGCCCCAAGCCATGGTAGCCATAAGGTTTGACCTGAGTGGGGGAGAGTGGACTTAGAAATTCCTAGCAACGCAACAGTAATAAAGACCAAGCATAGGCACCTTGTCATCTTTAGAGAGCTCTCAGTTCCATGTTGCAAAACTGAAGTCTCTTGTTTATTCAGCATTTTCCTGGCTGTCTCCTAACCATGCTTCCCAGGCCACGAGGCCATTTCTGTCTCCTTCAGCCTCTTAGATTGCTCCTAACTCTGTGTACTCACTAGTTACTTACCCACCTAGCCCTCCACCCAGGTGCAGGCCTATTCAAATGCTTAGTCCTGTAGAGATGCAAACTTCGGAGGAATTTTCCACTGAAGTCATGTCATTCAATAGCAGATTAGGTCACATCTGAAATGCAATCATAGGCCAGAGCTCCTGTGAGCTCCTGTTTACTGATTCCTTAATGGAACTTTCCTGGTCCCCAACACACACACACACACACTCAAGCACGCACGCACGCACGCACCCCCCCCACCCCCGGAAGCTCAGGCCTCCAGGATCTCAGCCCAGGACCGCAGTCACCCCAATCACCAGGAGGAGTCAAAAACTTGATGCAAACTGCATGAGGCTTTATTATAGTTGTTTAACGAGCTAACCCCATGTTAGCTCGGGCCTTCCATCCATCCACCATGGCAGATGGCTAGGAAAGACAGCTGGAACCGTAAGGGGAGTGTGTAGGGGTACGCACAGGCTTAGGATTGGTGTGCCTCCAGGCTTGGAGGGTTTGCCCTGTGTTGATTGGTTAACCGGTTGTTATGGCCCATACACCCTCCCAGGGTGGTTGCTATGCTCTGCGTGTCATTGCTGTGTCCCTGTCTGCAAATCCCACCAACAGCCATAAAGCATAGCACCACCCGCTAACTTCTGATTGGTCCCTTGCCACGAGGCAGGCATCTGACCTCTTAGTGACCAAGGCAAGTTCATGGCAAGCTGTTATGACTCCCGAAATGGGGAGCTGGTCCCTTCAACACCTACCTACCTACCTTTTCTCTCTTGTTTATATATCCATCCCTCCCTCACTCCCTCCCTGGTCTCAAACTCATATATGCTAGACATAAACTCTACTGCTGGATTACATTTCTCAGAGTTTCTCTTTGTTTGAAGAAAGGGTTTCATGTCGTCCAGTCTGATCTCAAGATTGATACTGCAATTTAAGGATCAGATTAAGTTTCTGAGACCTCTAGCGTGGCCTCCAACACACTGTGTAGCTGAGCATAATATTGCAATGATGGAATTACAAGCCTGCTCTACTATTAAAATGCTAGTGATTGAACTCAAGGCAAACTTTTTTCAACTGGGCTATATCACTAGCCTGAGATTAGCTTTTTAATACTCAGATTATCCTTTTTTTTCCATTTAGACTGCAGTTCGCCATGAATCTTGCAATGGTCTCTATAAGTTATCTCTGTCAGGCCTAGATGGAGGAGACTCAATTCATCGATCTTTTCTTCTTTTGGCTGCCTCAACCTTGTTGAAATTCCTTCCTGATGCTCAAGCACTGAAACCTCTAAGGGTGAGATTTTACCTTCCCGCAGATTTATTATTGTGTACAGTATTCTTGTTGTTACCTCATGAGTTTCTGATTCTCTGCTCTCCACTTCTGGGTGCACACCATGGTGCCTGATTAATCATAGTACTCTCAGTGTTAGGATTACAGCTACTAACGTTATCTATATAATTAGATTTTGGCTTTTTGTTGTCTGTCATTAGAATGCTATTTTAGAAATATTTTTTGTTCCTGCCTATTTGAAAAATTATGATGTAGCTCCCTCCCTTTATTCCTCACTAAATAACACTTGATTTTTTTATTCCTCATGAAATTTCTAAATTTTTTTAACATAGTATGACACTAACTTTGTAAAAGCTTTTTACCATTTAATAAATTCAGAGAGCTGTTAATAAAGTATTTTTAATAATTTACAAAATATATGCTGTTGCGTATTTTCCTTTGATTGTATCTTTTTTATATACTTGGAGATCGTGTTTCTCCCTCCCTCCCTCCCTCCCTTCCTTCCTTCCTTCCTTCCTGTTGTTGTTTTTGTTTTCATTTGAGACATGGCTTCACTCTGTACTCCAGCCTGAGCTTGAACCAAATGATGTCTGCCAGCCTTTGACTCAAAGTGCTGGATTAAAAGTGTGCACCACCATCCCCAGTTTAAGATTGTTTTTCTAGAAGTTGTCTAGTCTTCTAAGTACCTTGATATTCTGGTTTTCTTTATCTTCTGATTTTTATGATTTTACAGAATTCACCAGGAATTCATTCATTTTTTTCTTAAAGTTTGCATGCTATTTAATTTTGTAGGCATTTAAATCCGTAAAGTCTTTACTTGCTTGAATACATTATAATTGTTAAAATGATTTCACATTAAAATTTGTTTTAATAGATAGATGATTATGAAGAAGAACCAATGTTAAAACCTGGATGTAAAGAATATTTTTGGTTGCTATGCAAATTAGTGGACAACATACATATAAAGGATGCTAGCCAGGTATGTTCAGAAAATTGCCTATTAAGTTGTTAATAGATCACAATTTATGCACGTGAATGTTCCTGGTTTTACTCATCCTTTCCGTTGAGGGCATGTTTATTTAATGTATATGTAGTCGATATTATTACTCTTCTGTTCTGCTCTAGGGCCTTTCTTATTTTTTCTTTGACTTTGACTGTTAAAATATATCTTGATTTGTAAACATTTTTAAGTATTCTTGACCAATCTAAGATTTGTAAAAGCTTAATTGGAAAGTGAAATATATATGGTAAACGCTTACCTTTCTAAATTATGCGTGCCAGCATTAACACAGTGCCCATGGAAGCCAGGAGAGGGCATCTTATTACCTGGAGCCCTGGTTCTCAACCCGTGGGCCTGCAACCCCTTTTGAGTCTGTGAGTCAGCTATCCTTTGTATTAGATATTTATATTGTAAATTAATAACCGTAGCAAAATTACTGTTATAAAGTAGCAACAAAATAATTGTATGGTTGTGGGTCACCTCAAAGAGGAGGAACTGCATTAAAGGGTGGCAGCTCTAGGAAGGTTGAGAACCACTCAAGAGCCTAGAGCTTTAGTTATAGGTGTTGGTGTACTTCCTTATTGTGGGTCCTGGAAACCAAACTTTTGGGTCCTATGGAAGAATAGCATGTATTTTTAAGTTGTATATGAGTTTAGAGTCCTGATATATAAAATAAAAAAGTTTATGTAAATATGGCAAGATAAAAAATTAGTTAAAAATTAAAAGTTTTAATTGAAATTATTTTAAGGTAAGAAACTAAAGTAACATTTCCTTTCAAACATATAAGTGCTGGGATTAAATGTGTATTCCACCACATCCAGCTACAAAGAAATATTTAAAACAAATAAATTTTGAAGATAAATTTGTTACATAGACTTTCTATTTCCCTTCTCATATAAATTTAGTTAAGCTAGAAACAAATCTATGCTAATTCTAAACAAGTGAGAATAATATAAGAAGGATCTGTTTCAATATTTGGGAAACATTTTATCTTTTGTATGCATATAAATGAAAGTATGGTGTATAAACATAAAAATAGCCTGTAGTGATAATACTGTCTGATTTTTAGTTTTACAAATAACTTGGCAAAAGCTTATTATTAACGACAGGGTTTCTTTGTGTAGCTCTGGCTGTCTTGGAACTTACTCTGTAGACCAGGCTGACCTTGAACTCACAGAGACCGGCCCGCCCCTGTCTCCTGAGTGCGGAGACCATGATTTCTTTTTGATGGGACTGTTGTTAGTGCTGCATTTAACACTATTGTTTTTCTTTAACTTGATATCATGAAGAAGAATAGGTACATTGAGTTTATAACTTAATTTGCAAAATGCAACTTTTTTTACATATAAGGAAATAATTTGTTTTTCTAATCTCTTTAACAACCAAAAATAAAAATCTGTATTTGAATTTTGTAATTTGTTTTTTTGTGTGTTTTTTGTTTGTTTGTTTGTTTGTTTTTTGTCTTAAGACAACACTCCTCGATTTAGATGCTTTGGCAAGACATTTGGCTGACTGCATTCGCAGGTAAAATTTGATGCAGAATTAATAATTACATTATTGAGCACCGATAAAGAATATCTTTATTTTATCTTTGCTTGTGTTCTTTTTATTAATAGTAGGGAGATTCTTGATCACCTAGATGGTAATATAGAAGATGATGGGCTTTCGGGACTTCTAAGGCTTGCAACAAGTGTTATTAAACACAAACCACCCTTCAAGTTTTCAAGAGAAGGACAGGTATGTTTTAAAATATGTGTATGAAATACAATTGAAGCATCTTTTTACATTGTATGTGTTTTTTGTTGTTTTACAAAAATATATTCAAACAAAATTTGCTAGAACTTGATGATGGAATCTGAATTAACATTGAAAATAGGAAGCTTAGACTATACATTTATTATGTAAAAAAATTAATTCCTGTTACTTAGCAGAATGTCTGCTTTAATGTTTCCTATATAAATTTTTTTTTCACATTTTCTCTTGTGCACTAATATCCTTACATAGTAGTACCAATTAGTGATAATCATTTTGTCTGTGATGGTTTCACCCCTGCTTTCATATTTGAAAGGTCTGAAAGAAATGTATATTGAATATTTGCAATTCCTAATCACTATGCTGATGGATGTCTAACTGCTCTCAATGTTTTGTTTTCTTCACTGTTGTCATTGCAGTGAGGAAATTAGTTTTGATTTTCAGGTTACTTTTTGTGTTATTATAACAATAACCATAAGAATTCCATGACTTGTTAGATAAATATACACTGTACACCAAAGTTCACTTTTTTAAAAAAATGTATTTATTTTCATTTTATATACATTGGTGTTTTGCCTTCAAGTATGTATGAGGGAATCAGATCCCTTGGAACTGTAGTCACAGACTACTGTTTGCTTTCATGTGGGTGCTGGGAATTGAACCTGGGTCTTCTCAAAGAACAGCCTTTTAGCTGCTGAGGCAACTCTCCAGCCCCTTAATAGTTCATTTTTCTAAGACTCTTATATTTCATCTACTCTATAACAAAACCCTTTAAAAGAAAGCAATTTATTTACTGTTTTTACTTGATGTATATAGCATTTATGAAATAATGCTGTATCATGTCTTAGTATCATTTGATCTTTTTATGTGTCCTACAGGGACTTGAGTCATATACCAGCACATCCCACTCACTTTTAGTTTTGTTTTTCCTCCCAGAATCCTTCACATGTATTGTTTTCTGTATTAGCTCTCCTGATATACATTGATTGATATCAACAGTTACTATGCTGTATACTATTTTCTCAAAGCCGTTCTCATTTTTTCCCACTATTACATTCAGTGACAATAGTTAGTTGTATAGACTTGTGGAAATAGAAACATACTAAGCTGATTTTTTTTTTAACATTGTACAGAAAAACTGCAAAAGAAAACAAAGTTGTCTAGTATAGGAAAGTGCTTGTTTTTTGAGACAAGGTTTATGGAGCCCAAGTTGGTCTTGAACTTTATTTGGATTTAGCTTATCTGAAACTTGGCTGGTCTTGAGTTGCAGATCCTCCTGTCTTTATCTCCCAAGTGTTGGGACTATAGATAGTCATGTGCATTTTGTGTATGTATTTCTGTGAATATGCATGAGCACATTCATGTCATGCATATGTGAGATAGTCTTAGGACAACTTGTGAGAGTTAGTGTTTTCCTTTTACCACTTTGGTTCCACGGATAAAAAGATCAGTGTTGGCAGCAAGTGCTTTTATTCTCTGAGCAAGGTTGTAGGCCCTTTAGATTCTAAGAAAGTTTGCATAATATTTATAGTTGAAAGAGTTATGTTTTAATAATTTTTTGTTACTGTGGGTTTGTTGGTTGCCTTGCAACCATCTGAGGTAAACCATACTGTGGTTTACTCTATGTAGCCAACAATGTATTTAAACTTTGATCCTCCTGCCTCTACCTCGTAAGTGTTGGCAGTACTAGCATGAGCTACCATGGTTTTTCAATTTTTTTCTGTATTACATTGTGGTTTATTACCAAAAACTATTTTTAATGTTGAGGCAGGGTGTGGTGGCACACACATTTAATCCCAGACTCAGGGTAGAGACCGGTGGATCTCTGCCAAGTTTGAGACCAGTCTCCAAAAACCAAAACCAAACCAAACAATTCTCTCAGGTTTAAGTGAGTTTAAGTGAGTTCTTCTCTTTCTGATAAGCTCACAATATTGAAAATAAAAATGTTCACTTAAACGTTTACTGGCTCACTCAGTTACTCTGGTTAAATACTTTCATCACCGACTTTAAGTATACTGTGTCAAAATCTCTATAGCAGTGCAGTTCATTTTCCTTTTATATAAGTTGATTGGCAAAGAGAGTTTGTTGTAAAGTTAGTTACCAGCCAATTCATATTTGCTGTTGAAATGTTTGTTTGCCAGTGCAGGTTCAACATGTTGCTTTGTGTCTCCATGACTTTTGAACCCTAACATAGATAAAATCATGTCATCTGTATAAACTAAAACTCAAGTCACTTTGCATGTTTATTAGCCAATCTTGTTTTTCTTTGCAAATTTAGAAAGTAGGTTTTACATTCTTTGAAAATAGTAAGATAGAAGAGGAAAACATGATAGTGGTAAAAACATTTAAAATTTTTGGCTTTGTTTTTTTTGTTTGTTGTTTTTGTTTGATTCCTGTGGCTGAATTCCCAGTACCATCCCATGTTGACTGATTTTCTTAGGATTCAACAAGGCTAAGCAGTGGGCTCATGGCTAGTTTTTGTTATAGTGGAGTTGAACATGATTAATTCTCCCTGTGGTTACTGTGGCAAAGCATATGCCCTACATTTCCAGTTACTGAAATTCAAGATTCCTAAAAGTAAAATGGATGTTTAGCATAAACTAACATGTAGTCAGGTACAGTGAGCCACTGCTGTCACTTACGGAATATGATATTACAAGTCAAGTTTTCAGACTTCAACCAAAGGCCAGTCTCATTAAATAATGGTATTTGAATCTTGATATATTGCAGTCTTCCTGCTCAGTACCCTATGAAGTATTATACCCAGGTAGAAACTATAGTAAATGTTTGAGATGTATAAGAGATAACTATGTAAAAGGCAAAGGAAAAATAACCTGAAAAGATCAAGTCGATATGAGGTTTCTTTCCTAGCTGAGGAGCTTTCAGCAGTTGATGGCTGCTGTTAGAGGCCCTTTACCTATGTCCACAGCAGCAGCATTATTGGATTCAGTGGATTATTTAAAAAGAAAATAGAGAAAGAACATAAAGTTGGGAAAGGCACATGTTTCAAGATGATTAAACATTAATTGAGGTAGAGAGGGGAGTAACCATAATATATTTATACAGATATGAAGTTCTCAGACAATATATTTAAAATTTTTTAGAAGAATGAGTAGAAAAGATAATCTGAGTGAGTTCATCTTTGAGAAGCTTATACATGCTTTTGGGTGTGCCTTTACTTTCTTCCAAGCACCTCTTTTACTATTTGTGCTTAAGCCTGTATTAAAATGTGCTTAAATCTTCAACTCTGCTTCATATCCAAAAAGGTAACACATTACAAAGATTGAATTTAGGAAGAAAATCTGTTGTGGAGGAAAATCTGAAAACTGCTTCCATTAAACAATTTAGGTCCATCTCATGGTAAATCTTTGTTGTCTACAGTTTACAAAATAAAGAAGATAGTGATAAAGAGATTCACTTCTTTCATCCCAACTCTGGCATCTACCACAGTTTTGACAGTGGGTTTTGGGGGTTTTTTGTTTTTAAAGATTTTATTTATTATGTATACAGTCTTCTGCCTGCATGCCAGCAGAGGGCACCAGATCTCAGTTAAGGTGGTTGTGAGCTACCATGTGGGTGCTGGGAATTGAACTCAGGACCTCTGGAAGAACAGTCAGTGCTCTTAACCACTAAGCCATCTCTCCAGGCCAGTTATTGGGGTTTTTAATGTTTCTGACTTTTGTGCTGGAGACTCTGAGGAGGAGTGGCTGTCCCTCAGGTTGGGTGAAGAAGTGCTATTGTTGCTGTTAACCAGATGGAGAAATACCTGTAGGACTCGGCAAATGGGGAATAACAAGGCCTAATAGAATCTCTTGGTAATTTACAAATGAAAATAATGTTAGTGTGCCCCTTCCATTCAATTTAATATTCAAGTAATATTGGTAAGATTTTGAGATGATTATGTATAAAACTGCTGTGAACATGTTACTAGTATTTTAGTAAATTGTAGTTAGTCCATTATTTATTTCATTTTGTGTTTTAATGTATTTGGAATATAATTGATATTCAAGTTTAGATAACACTTGCTTTCTTCTTACCCCCTAGGAATTTTTAAGAGATATCTTCAATCTTCTGTTTTTGTTGCCCAGTCTAAAGGACCGGCGGCAGCCAAAGTGCAAATCACACTCTTCAAGGGCCGCTGCATATGATTTGTTGGTAGAGATGGTAAAAGGGTCTGTTGAGAACTACAGGCTGATACACAACTGGGTTATGGCACAGCACATGCAGTGTAAGCATTCTTCTTTTTGTTGCTTTTCTATAGAATTGAACCCAGAAATGAAAAATCAAAGGGTGTTGTTTAAAGAATCTACTTTCACATACCTGTTTACACACAGTGTCAATAGATTTTTCTTCATTTTTAATAGAAAAATGTAGAAAAAATTATATACTTTAAATAATTGGGCTTTCTTTGCATAAAATAATGTAATAACAAGTAAAATAAAACATTGACTTATTTGAATTTTTACAATTAATTAGCTTTAAAGTGTGGTTTTACATAATTATATTTTAAATTATAATGCTCTATATGTCTTACTTAGGTAATTAGGAGGTAGTAATTGGCAGTCAAATCAACATATGTTTCAGTTTGTTTGGGGGAATCTTCTCCCTTTTTTATCAGCAGCCCATGCACCTTATAAATGGGACTACTGGCCTCATGAGGATGTGCGTGCAGAATGCCGATTTGTTGGCTTGACTAACCTTGGAGCTACATGTTATTTGGCTTCCACTATTCAGCAACTTTATATGATACCTGAGGCAAGGCAAGCTGTCTTCACTGCTAAGGTAGAGTATCAAAATATAAACCAAATAATTATTCATGAATCTTAGTTTAATGTAATATATTGCTTAATAACAAAAACATGAAAAATTTTATTATGTCATAGCTAATTATTTTTAGTAAATTTTAATTTTATTTACACTTGAAAACTCATTATGTGGAATCATTTGTTTCTCAAAGTACAATTGTGGATTTATGTACTCAATATGCACAGTTAATATTATAGTTCAGTAAAAATAAATACAGATTTTAATCACATAAAAATAAGTAAACCTTCAATTAAGCAGAGTAATAATCAGATACTGATTATTTTTTTCTTTCATTCCTAGCCCAAAATAAATAAGTTTGTGAGTCTGCTTTGAGTAACATATACTTCGTGGTTTTTGTTTTTATATCTGATTTTATACTTTCTAGGTGAATGACCTTTATGCTTTTTTTTTCTTCCTTCTTTTAAATTCTATAATGTGGTATAGACTTTGTTGAATCCTTTAATCTGTTTTAGTTACTTCAAGTTAATTTAATTTATAATGATTTGAGTTTAGGTTTTTACCCTTAGTTATGTTGGATTTTAAAATATAGTGTCTATATTGATTGATAGCTAAAAATAGTTCCATTGTGGGTTTGTTTAATTTATAAAAACTCTGGTAACTAAATTGAGTAGATACATTTCTGTTGTTTTGTAGGTAACAAAGAATCGTGTTTTCAGTGCCTTTTTCCCCCCTTAGTGACTTGGTTATAACTTTTGGTACTTTTTGTTCATATTAATGAACACTTTAAACTTTTAGTATTGTCCATAATTAACATCAACAGAAAGAACACTAGATGTGCTTATTTTGAGTAGATCTTTTAAGTAACACTTTCAGTTAAAAACTAAACCTCAGTACTAAAGAGATCTATATATCACTTCCTCTTCTTCCAAAGGACAAGTTGTTCATTTGCCAGCACCCATGTCAGGCTACTCAGAGCTATCTGTAATACCAGCTCCAATGGATCCTACATCATCTTCTGGCCTCCACAGACACCTGTACTCATTTCCTACCTGCAGACACATAAACACACAACAGAATCAAAAATAAATAATTCTTTTTTTATTGAGTTTTGATCTACATAATATTTGTATTTTTAAAAATTGCTTTACTTAGCTGGGTGTGGTAGTGTGCAGTTTAAACTCAGCATCTGGGGAGTCTGAGATGGTTAGATCTCTAAGATTGCGATCAGCTTGGTTTACCTGGTGAGTTATAGGACACAGGACACAGAGAAAGACCCTGTCTGAAAAAAGAGAACATTCATGTATTTTTATCTTTATGAAAAGTTCTCATGGGTTGTGTCCTAGAGCAGTCTCAGACTCACTGTTTAGTTGAGGGTAAACAAAACAGTTTAGTTGATACGCTCTTATCCCTCAAGTTCTGGAATTGCTCTCTGAAGTAGTACTTTGCATATATTAGATTTATAATATTTTGGAAATTTACATTTTAAGTGAATTCATAATCTTATGAAATATCTGGACTGTCATATTGAAAGTATGCATACTATAGTTTTTTTTTGCCAATTTGTTGATCCCTTTTATTCAAACCTATTGCAGCCATAAAACTTTTAATATATGCTGGACAGGTTTCTCTTTCTCTTAATCCTTACTATGTATCTTTAACAAGCTCTTAAATAGAGAAACCACATTACTTTTATTACTGACAAGATTGGCACAAATAGCTGGTGTGTCGTTCTGAACAAATGGTAGAGTTAATATGCCATGATACTCTGAGTAGCTTCAGAATTAGTTGATAACTTGCAATGGTGGTAACTCCTCCCTTAATTGATTTATTTTAATACTGGAATTGAAGCTTAGCCTAGTCTACTTGGTTTTTGATGAGTCTGTGTTCAGAACTAATTCCCCCAGGCATGGAGACCTACTATGATTCACCTTTTGAGAGGTGAGGGTAGGAGGATTCCAATTTCAGGCTGTCTTAATCATTGTTGTATTGCTATGAGCACAACTCCTATAAAGGAAACATATAATTGGGGCTAGCTTACAATTTCAGAGCTCTAGTCCATTATTGTCATGGCAGGGATCATGGTGGCTACATCTGGATCCACACTGCCTCCAAGTCTGCACCTCCTGATCCTTCCAAATAGTGCCACTCCCTAAGTATTCAAATATATGAACCTATGGAGGCCATTCTTATTCAAAATACCACACAGGCTATTGTCTTTTTTGTAAGGGAAGGATGACTGATTTAACAAAGAGCTTGGTTGCAAAAGCCACAACATTCTAAATTTGACATTTAGCACCCACGAAAAAAGCCAGGTATGGTAGTGCCCATTGTGATATCATTGTTGGGAGGTCTAGCCAAAGAACAGGAGGTCACAGTGGCATGTATCAAAAAATAAGGTGACAGCTCCTGAAGTCAACACCATTGGCTGTCTTCTGGCTTCCACCATATGTATACAACCTTCACAAAGTAATAAATTAAAAAATAAGTAAAAGGAATTAGGTTGTAAGCATAGCCATATTTCCCAGTCATGGATTGTAGTGTTTTGATGTTTATAGATTAGTTACAAAATTCCTCCATAGTGTTGAAGTATACTGTTCCAGAAAAAGTAAAGATATGATTGCTACAAAAATGTGATTTGTAACTTCTATAAGGGAATTCATTACATGCATAGAGTACTTTTCATGATCTAGAAAACAATTTTAAAAAATGTTATCTCTTTCCACTTTCCCATCAGTAGCTATTACTGTATTTATTGTAATGGAATGATTTTTCTAAGACACAATGGTAATGAAACAGTGAAATGTGAGGTGTTTTCTTGCATAGAGCTGTAAGGATAAAGAGGGGTAGTATTCAGCACATTGTAGGTCTACTAAGATGTCCAACGTGCCACCAGTAGTGTTTTGACCAAGTTTCTTCTTGACTTTCAGTATTCAGAAGATATGAAGCATAAAACCACTCTTTTGGAGCTTCAGAAAATGTTTACATATTTAATGGTATGTTTGAAAAATGTGGAGAAAAACTAATTAGATAATCTTTTAACATAAAAACTAAGATAGTGACCATGAAGATTGTAGTTTTTGTTAAGACTTACTGTTTTCAAATTGATTTATCTTTAGTTATTTCTCTTCTTTGTTATAAAGACTTTAACAATCACAATTGAGTTACCTATTTTCTATTAATTTGTCTTTCATTTCTAGTTTTTCCTGTCACTGGTTGTCTTAGTTAGGGCTTCTATTGCTGTGATAAGACACCATGACCAAAAGCAAGTTGGGGAAGAAAGGGTTTATTTGACTTCCACTTTGTAGCCCATTGCTGAAGGAAGTCAGGACTCAACCAGAGCAGGAACTTGGAGGCAGGAATTGATACAGAGGCCATAGAGGAGTGCTGCTTACTGGCTTGTTCAGCATGCTTTCTTATAGAACCCAGGACTACAAACCAGAGATGGCCCTACCCACAATGGACTGGACTCTCTCCCATCAATAAATAATTTAGAAGATGCCCTACAGGTTTGCCTACAGCCTGATCCTTTCCTCCTCCCTCCCCCACTGAGTCAGGGTTTCTCTGTGTAGCTCTGACTATCCTGGAATCACTCTATAGACCAAGATGGCCTTGAACTCAGAGATCCGCCTGCCTCTGCCTCCTGAGTGCTGGGATTAAAGATGTGCACCGCTACCACCCAGCTGGTTTACCTCTTTTATGCAGGCTTTGTAACTGATTTCTTTTTTCCTTTTAAGTCTTATCATCATAGTGGTAAAAGTAATTGATGTCTTCAAAAAAGATCTTGAGTTGATGGCACACAACTTTAATCCTAGCACTTGGAAGGCAGAGGCAGGCCTGGTCTAGAGACTAAGTCTCAAGACAGCCAGGGCTACACAGAGAATCCCTGCCTCAAAAAAACAAAGATCTTTTTTTATATCAATACCTCACTTAAGACAGTTTAGTTCTTCTTAGGAGATTGTTGTTATTTGGTTCTTAGCACTCATAATTAGTAAGTTCAAAGTTGCTTATAAATCCAGCTCTGGCTTCCTTGGACAAGCACACATACCTAAAATTTAAAATTGAAAATATTTTTTATGGGTTTTTGTGTTGTTGTTTTGTCTTTTTTGTTGTTGGTGGTGGTTTTTTGTTGTTGTTGTTGTTTTTTGTTTTGGCAAGGCAGGGTTTTTGTGTGTAACAGCCCTTTTCCTGGAATGTAGACCAGGCTGGCTTTGAACTCATAGGGATCTATCTGCCTCTGCTGGGATTAAAGGCATGTGACACCACCACCCAGCCAGCATTTTTCTTTTTTCTTCATATCTTTTTTTTATTATTATAATTTAGTTACATTTCTCCCTTCCCTATCCTCCCTCTAATCTTTCCCATATATCCCTCACTGTCCTCTTTCAAATACATAGCCTTTTTCCCCACCAATTGTTATTATGTGCATATGTGTGTATATCTGTGTGTATATATATATTTCTCAACAAAACCTATCTAGTACATTATAATGTTACTTGTATATATGTTTTCAGGGCTTACCACTGTTTTGTTTGTTTATTTGTTTTGTGTTTCAAGACAGTGTTTCTTTATAGCTTTAGAGCCTGTCCTGGAACTCATTCTGTAGACCAGGCTGGCCTCAAACTCACAGAGATCCGCCTGCCTCTGCCTCCCGAGCGCTGGGACTAAAGGCATGTGCCACCAACGCCCGGCTCAGGGCTTACCGTTTATCACTGGACAAGCACATGCACATAGTTCACAATAGAAAATACTTTTTTAAACATTTAATTCTTATTGGGCAGTATTGTATTTATGGTCTTATTTATACTACTCACTCAGCTTCGCTTCCTGATAACATTGAGCCCTTGGAAGCCTATTACCCAGTTGCTTTCCCACTTGTGCAGGTATTAATGCTATTCCTCCTGCCTTTACCACTCTTCCTTAGGACTCTTCTCCATTTTCTTTCTGTTGTCTAATCAGCTAGAGACCTTATATTCAACAAAATATCTTGAAGTCTCCATGCTTCTCTTCTTGCTCTGATAATGAAGTTTTACCTGTGACAATCTTCAGGACAGATAATGCCATGTATATTCCTTTATTCTAAGACTGAATAGGTGTGGTTTTTCTTTTCTTTACTGTTTTTTTAAAAACAAGATTAGAAAATAAACTAGCTTGATGCTGATTTTTAATATCTCGTTTTGGGGACAGGGTATTACTATATAGGTAGGTAGGTAGGCCTTGTAATTAAAATCCTGTCCCAGCTTTATGGGTGAATTATGGCAATACAGGCATATCACCACCATGCCTTGGACTTTAAGTTATACTTTTAAGAGAGATGGAACATATTTCAAGTGGCAAAATCATTAACTGCTGTTTACTCTTTTGCCCGTGCCCCCGCACCCCACAAAAGGGTTTCTCTGTGTAGCCTTGGCTGTCCCTGAACTCACTCAATAGACTAGGCTGACCTCAAACTCAAGAGATACTCCTACATCTGCCTCTGCATCCAGAGTGCTGGGATTAAATGCATGTGCTATCACACCCAGCTTTAAGCTAAACTACTTTTAATAACGTTATATAAAGTTTAGTGTACCCAAAACTTTCTCTGTTTGCAAAAGTTGATTCTTTATAATTAAAATCTGAGTCCCCTGAGTTCCAGTAGTAATTTCATAAGGTGAACTTTTCGATCTCAACACTAGGACCATTAAACTACAAATGCAATTGAACTCAAGTAAAAGTTGAAGTGGAGAGAGTATCAGGGAAAAAATGTTTAGCTCTGGGTATAGTGGAGTACTTCTCTAGTCCTAGAGTGTAGAAGGCTGTAATAGACGCACAGTTATTTTGAAGTCTGTTTGGGCTACATGTTGAAACCAGAGAACAGAAAAATAGTTTTATCACTTGCCTTACTATTTGAGTTTGGTTTTTATCTTATTTTGTGAAGTGGTGGAGATTGGTTTTTGGTTTTGATAGATTTTAGGTTTTTGTGTATTTGGTTTTTGTTCTTAAATTTTTGAGCAGAGTCTTTTATAAACCCAGAATTTGCTGATTATGTATAGCCAAGGCTAACCTTGAATTCCTGATACTCCTGCCTTTACCTTCCAAGTGCTGGGATCAGTGGCATATTCCACCCTGTTTGACTTTGTTGTTGTTCACTCAAGAATGTTCTGGCCATTTATTTGTTTAATTCCTCCTCCCCTTTTCTCTTGCAGGAGAGTGAGTGCAAAGCTTATAACCCTAGACCTTTTTGTAAAACATATACCATGGACAAGCAGCCTCTTAATACTGGGGAGCAAAAAGATATGACAGAGTTTTTTACTGATCTGATTACTAAAGTTGAAGAGATGTCTCCAGAACTGGTTAGTACCAGAATACTGAAAAATTTGTTTGAAATTAATACAGATTTGATTTTTAATCACTGACTTTTATTTGTTTTATATTAAAGAAAAATACTGTCAAAAGTCTATTTGGAGGTGTGATTACAAACAATGTTGTGTCCTTGGTAAGTATATCTCTTGTTTTTTATAAGGGTTTTTTTTTTAAAGCTTATAATAATTTGCTAATTTTTGTTTGTTGATTGATCTAGGATTGTGAACATGTTAGTCAGACTGCTGAAGAGTTTTATACTGTGAGGTGCCAGGTGGCAGATATGAAGAATATTTATGTGAGTGATAATGGACATTACTTGGGATTTACTTATGATTTATCTATGTATATATCTATACATAGATATATGTGTATACAACAAATTCATTGTCTTATGAATAGCTGTTTTCATGTATTTTCTTTCATGTTTTGCTGTTTAAATAAGTATTGAAGATAGACCAAAAACTTGTCATTTCCCAGTTAAAACGTAAACAGCTTTTAAAAGTTAGAGTTCCTATAAGGAAAAAAAAAATTTAATTTGAATTTGCTTTTTGTAAATTTTTCTTTGTGTATTCTGACCAAATTGCATGCTCTAAATTATGTCAACTTCCCAATGTATGTTTATACACAGGAATCTCTTGATGAAGTCACTATTAAAGACACCTTAGAAGGGGACAACATGTACACTTGTTCTCATTGTGGAAAGAAAGTCAGAGCTGAAAAAAGGTAGCTTTTATTATTTTAATATAAACCACCCAGTGGACTAAGGATAATCCTGTGTTGATCTTTTGTGACTGTGTAAATGTGATATAATTAACATGAATAAACAGTACATTATAGTGACTGAGGTAATAGTAGCTGTTTGGAGTTCAGTATCATTCAGTAACTTTTATTTATTCAGTGAGGTTTAATGTAGCATGTACAGTAGGATTGAAAGTAAGACAAATCTTCAGATTTGACAGAAGTCTGTGTTTTCCAAGGATAGACATGAAAGACAAGAAGAGTGATCATTTTTTATCATTCTGCACAGGCTCAGATGTCTAGTTTTAGTGACTGGTTCCTAAAGAATAATAGCTAATTTTATACAGTATTTTTGTACTTAGGAAGTACTTACAGAATTTTACATGATTCAATTCAGTTAATACAACATTATGTTGTAGTAAACCCCCCCTTTGGTGGGCCCCCCCCCCCCCCCCCTGTTGTTTTGAGATGGGTTTCTTTGTGTAGCCTTGGGATTAAAGATGTGTGCCACCACTGCCCCAGCTGTAAAATGCTATTACTATTATTAATATCAAAATTATTTCCTATATAACAGTTGGAGATATGGAATAAACAGATCAAAGTTAGTTCCAAATTCTAAAATTGTGTTGTCTAAGATAGCACATGCAGATGAACAGTGTAGTCCAGGTGGACTGAACTCTCTCCCTTGGAAATGCTGTATGAACAGTTGCATCTTGTCTGGATCTTGGAAAGAGATCTGAGTGGAAGCTAGATTTGGGAGTTAGTTAAAATTTCAGTTTAAAAGTACTAATTTTTTACACTACTTTGAAAGTGGTTTTCAACTTGCATTATAAGTTCTGACTATTTTCATTGCTCATGCTTTGTTGTATTCATCATAAATACTTTTCCTTGAGTTATAGTTCTTTATAGAGTTTCAAAAAGGGGGGACTGGAGAGATGACTTAGTGAAGAGTTCATAATACTCTTGCCAAGGATTTTTGTTTATTCCCCGTTACCCATGTTGGGTGGCCCACGACCATCTGTAACTCTAGCACCAGGTGAGCTTTTGAAGGTGCGAACATTCATGCACGAGCAAACCCTCCCCCCCCCCACACACACACACACACACACACACACACACACACACACACACAGAAGCAAACAATTAAAAATAGCAAAACTAGGGGCTGGAGAGATGGTTCAGTAGATAAGAGCATTGGTGTTCATCTAGAGGACCTGAGTTCAGTTCCTAGCACCCACATCCCAATGTTCTCAACAGCCTATATTTAACTCCAGCTTTGGGGGCTGGCTGTAGTAGGATGTACTCCTTTAATCCCAGCACTTGGGTGGCAGAACCAAGTGGAGCTCTGTGAGTTCGAGGCTAGCCTTGTCTACATAGTGAAGTTCTAGGATAGCAGGAGCTATATATAGCAAGACCCTATCTTTAAAAATCCAAAACTAAAAACATAACTCCAACTTCAGGTTCCCTAGTGCCCTTCTAGCCCCACAGACACACTGAAATACATATAAATAAAAATCAAATCTTTTAAAAAATAATAATCTGTAAAAAACATAACTGCCTTTACTGATTTAGGCAAAGAATTTGATTGTCTCTTTCACTTTTATGTATTTCTGATCTTTCATGATTCACATATCAATTTGGATGTGTATGGTGTGTGAGTGTATGTGTATGTACTGTGTTTAGGGATACATATAGACATGTATGCATGTGTTGTATATGGAAGTCAAAGGTCAGTGTTGGGTGTCTGTCTTGTTTTTTGTTTGTTTGTTTGTTTTTGAGACAGGGTTTCTCTGTGTAGTTTTGAGCCTGTCCTGGCACTCACTCTGTAGTCCAGACTGGCCTCCTGAGTGCTGGAAGGTGTTCACCAGGTTGGCTTTCTATCTTGTCTTTTTAAGACAAGGCCTCTCATTGAACATGGGACTCTGCTGATTAAGTAGGCTGTCAGGCCAGCAAGTCCCAAGGACCCTCCTGTCCTTTTCTTCTTAGTGCTGTAAATATAGGCACATGGCACTGTGCCAGGTTTTTATATGAATATTGGAGATCTGAACTTGAGGTCGTTATACTTACATAGCAGGTGCCTTACCAACTGTGTGATCTTCCTAGCCCTTTGCTTGGGGGGGTGGGGGCAGTGAAATGGATCAGATAAAAGCATTTATAATAGCACAAGTCTAAAGACTTGGGTTCAACCACCTAAACCCTCATAAAGACCTGAACATGATGGTGTATGCATCCTAAAGTAAGATATAGTACAGCAGTAAAAAGAGACCCTGCATCACCAAGGTAGAAGGAAAAGTCAGACTCCTGAAAGTTGTCTCTGATCTTCCCACACACACATACACACTGGTAAAGAAATAAAATTTCGCCGGGCATTGGTTGCGCACGCCTTTAATCCCAGCACTCAGGAGGCAGAGGTAGGTGGATCTCTGTGAGTTCAAGACCAGCCTGGTCTACAAGAGCTAGTTCCAGGACAGCCTCCAAAGCCGCAGAGAAACCCTGTCTCGAAAAACCAAAAGAAATAAAATTTCAAAGTCTTTAAAAACTGAGCGAGTACCACATGAAAAGCCAGCATGGGCATGTGTGTCTGCTACCTCAGTGCTGTGAAGCACAAACAGGAAAATGCTAATGGTAAAAATGGCAAGCCCTAGATTCATTGAGAGACCCTTTAACAAAACAAAAAAAGGTAGAGGGCCATCAAGGTCATCAGTGAGTAAAGGCACTTTTTGCCAAGACCTACAATCCAAGTTTGATTGTTGGGACACACGTCGTGGAAGTAGAAGACCAGCACCAGCAAATTGATCTCTGCCCACCACACCCATGCCATGGCACATGCTCTCTCGTGCACATAAGAGTATGCATACATGTAGAGGCACTAATAAAAATAATAAGATATTTGCCTCCTACAGGTGCCGGAGCAGGTATGCACCCTCCACTACATGCACACATGGCCGTGCACACTCGAGCACACACACAGACACACACACACACTTATGTGACTTAGAATATTGCTACTTTAAGTTGATTATTAAAATAAATGTAGCACAGCTATAAGTAAAACTATGATATTTTTGAAATAAAATATTTAACAAGCTTGTTTCCCTCTCCTCCCTTCTCAGGGCATGTTTTAAGAAATTACCTCGTATTCTGAGTTTCAATACTATGAGATATACATTTAATATGGTTACAATGATGAAAGAGAAAGTGAATACACACTTTTCCTTCCCTTTACGTTTGGATATGACACCCTATACAGAAGATTTTCTAATGGGAAAGAGTGACAGGAAAGAAGGTAAGTTCATGTTTTTCCATTCTCTGTTTATTGTTAAGTCTCTTTTCATAAGGAAATTATATGAATGGAGAAAATGTCATTGTTAATTGTATGAATGGGAAAATGTCATTAATGTTAAAGTCAATTACATGGTTCTCAAACCTAAATATAATCTTAAAAAAGAATATTTTTATTTTAAAGTATTTTTATATGTCTGGGTGCTATGTCTGCATTTATGTCTATGTACCATATACATAGAGTGCCCACAGAGATCAGAAGAGGGCATTAGATTCCCTGCAACTGGATTTATGGATGGTTGTGATCCACAATTTTGGTTTTGGGAATCCAATCAAGTCTTCTTGAAAAGCAGGTTGTCTCTCTATCCCAGAAAGGAAAACTTTGTTAGAGACACTGTAATATATTTACCCACTTCGATAACAAGTATTTTTTCCCAGTCTCTCTTTATGCCTTTGGAAAACTGAAGTCTACATGGTCTTACATTGAATCTGAAATTGTAGTATGTTGCCATGAGTAATCATTGTGTCATAGTCTTGATTTCCACGAGAAAATACTATTTAATCAGAGATAGAGTTTTTTAAGAGATAGAGAAGATGGGATAAGTTCTTGAATACAAGAATAGCAGAATGATCAATGAGATAAATCAAAGGCAGAATATTTTTGGCTTTGGGCCATATTAACAATTTTGTCCTTTATTTATTATTTATTATATGACCATTAGATTTTTTTGGTTTGTTTTGTTTTTCAAGACAGTTTCTATAGCCCTATCTGACCCAGAACTCTGTAGACCATGCTGTCCTCAAAGGTCCGTCTGCCTCTGCCTCCCAAGTGCTGGGATTATAGGATTGTGCCGCCGTGCCCTGTTGGCCATTAGATTTTTAATCAGAGAAGTTCCAAAATAGCTGTTTGGAAAAGGTTATTTTCAAATGGATTAAAGAATGATGAAAAGTGTAAGAGGATGCAATTCTTGTAAACTTCAGTAAAGCCAGTGGCTTAGATGAGAAAGAACCAACAGATAGGCAGAATTAATGGACTTAATTAACGTGTGTGTGTGTGTGGGTGTGTGTGTGTGTGTGTGTGTGTGTGTGTGTGTGTGTGTGTGTGTATGTATGTATGTATGTATGTAAAGGAATACGGCCATTTGTACATGCTAGCATTCTACCAATATAGCCCCAGATCATAAGAGTTCATAATTGGATGAATAAATGAATTATCTTATTATGCCTTTGTAGTATGAACTGTTCTTAAAGCTGTGTTAGTAAAATAATGACAAAACCCCAAGGCTCTGCTTCCCCGCACATTTTACTTGGTCTGCAACTAGAGAGGGGATTAGGAACCTTGAGAGACTGGCTTTTAAATTGAACAGTAGTAAAGAGGGATTTGTATTTTAAAGTCCCACAAAGGAACACTCCCAGGAAGAGTATGCCCGAACAATAATTGGTAGAAAATCTTTGATTATTCTTGCCAGAGCATTTTGATTTAAAAGTTGAAGTAGGAAGCTGAATTTTAGTGAGTTAAATAACAATGACCTTCATTTCACAAGTAGAAAACCACCAAACTATTTCGAGTTTATTGACTCAGACTCTCAAAGACCCACCTGCCTCTGCCTCACAAGTGCTGGGATTAAGGACACATGGCTTTTTAATGGGCATGGGAGAAGAAAGTAGTAAAGGACCCTTGTGTCTTACATTTCTCTGTACTACCAAGTTCCTTTTTACATAATGTGTGTTGTCCCGTTTAAAATTTAATAATTTCAGAAACCAGTATCCCATCCTAACTTTAGGTAGGAGAATCCAGTTTAATGTTTAACTCCAGTGCTTAGCATTTTAATGAATATACAGTAAACATTAAACCTCTCAGAGTGGGAAATGAAAAATGTAAACAGTGAGTTATTGCTTTTTTTTTTTTTTCCAAAAGAACTTACTAATTTTCCAAAGATAGGAGAGGAAAATGCAGTCACGGGTCTAATGGAATATAAAGTTAGAGGAGATAACTTTCATTAGTATTTGTATGTTTATAAGTTGCAGTAAGTGGTTTCATAATAATAAATTTGAAAATGCAGATAAAGAAATAGTCATTGTTATATGCATCCTACTTTTTACACCTATTTATCAAACCATTTTGAAAATCATAGTGAAACTTCATCTCAGCAATTTTTCATTGTATTTTCACGTGATGCTTTATTACATTTGTGGAGAGAACATAAATTTATAAAGTAGTTTTTGGGGGCCTTTAGTGATGTGTTGTCAGCCACTGCTTTAACATGTGCACTGTGACCATTTCTTTACTTCCCAATTTAGGTTGTGCAATGAACCAAATCTACTCTGCATTGCTCCTACATGGGTGGGTGTGGGTGGGTGGGTGTGTGGGTGTGTATGTGGGTGTGGGTGTGTTGTATGGTATTGGCATGTTTGGCCTTTGAAACAGGGTTACCTTTTGATTTTAAAATTGTTCAGATTAAAGTGATGCCTTTATATTTATGTAAATGTACCCTAATATGTATCAGTACAGTGCTTAGCATGAGAATACAAAACTAAGTCCTTTTTTTTTTTTCCTTCTGATGGTAAAAATTAAATTGGAAAAAAAAGCATGAATACTATTTTAAAAGGCTAGTTAAGTTAAACACATAGTTTACCTATCACATTGGTGTTGCTTTTAGTTATGCACTAATTAATTTTAATTTTTCTCAGTTAATTGTATAATATGTTCCTGTAGTGATAGGCTATGGCCTTGCAAAGTGCTTTTATATAACCTATTTTATAAAGTTTTTGTGCCTTTTTCTGTACATAAATACCTTATAAAAAGTAATCTTAAGATGACATTGTTTTGTGTTTTCAAAATAACTGCCCTTATCTCATGTAAATTAGGTTTTAAAGAAGTTATTGACCATTCAGAAGACACAGAGAGCTATGAGTATGACTTGATTGGAGTAACTGTTCATACAGGAACAGCAGATGGTGGGCACTATTATAGTTTCATCAGAGATATAGTCAATCCACATGCTTATAAAAACAATAAGTGGTAAGTTTTAAATGTTTTTCCTTTGGTTTTAAAAATAATTTCCTCCTGCTTTTAAGTTTGTAAATATATATTTTAATATATATATGTCTATGGTAGTTCTTCTGATGAATTTTTAGTTTTCTGAAAGACTTCCTATGGAATCAAGGAAAGAAAATATTAAATAATTTTTTAAAAATGTTTTGTTTGTGTATGTGTTTTCTCTGTATGGGTAGGCAGATGGATAGATGGATGCATAGAGGTCAGAACATTTTTTGAATATTGGTTCTCTCATTTCCCAATATTGGTCCCAAGGAGACCTGATTCAGGTTGTCATACTTGGCAGCAAGGACCAGTACCTGCTGATCCATCTTGGTGTCCTAGAAAAAAAGTGGTTTTTTTGTTGTTGTTGTTTTGTTTTTTTTTAAAGATAAGGTCTCTTTTGGCTATCCTGGAACTCTCTCTGTAGATCAGACTGGCTTTGAACTGAAAAGGATTTTTTTTTTTTTAATTGAAGGAAACTTTCAAAAAATAGAAATCAGTTCTTAAATTTATGTATGTGCCTTAAATTTTGAGAATTTGATGAATGCCTTTCTCTGAAAAATGAGCTTTATATTAACAATCTCGGGGATTCATAGACAAATTGTACCCACCCAATCTTAATTTACCCTTTTTTCTTTCTTACAGGAGCTCTTTACTGAATGCCTTCTATTTAGTGGTTACAAAGTTTTTTTTGCATGCTCTTTAGAAGTTACCTGCATCCACTCTGTTCTATTCACCTTACCTTATTCCTTCTGCATATTTTGTTTTTATCAGGTTAGCATCAGTCACATAGTGACTGTTTTTAGTTTTCAGATGTCTTTAGGAAGTATCCTATGCATATGGAGTGTATGTGTGCTTAGGCTCTCTTTTAATTTTTGGAAATACTGCTTTGAACAAAATACATAGCTGGTAGTTAGCATTGATCTACATGCAGTTAGCAGAATAGTTGGCATTTAGCTCTTATTTCTGATTCTTTCAGACATCATGGCTAAAAGCATCCTTTTTAAAAAGTTTTTTCTGTTTGAAATTATAATTGCATCATTTCCACACTTTTTTTCCCTCCACCCTCTCCCATGTATTTTTATATCCACTTGGATATATTTCCATGAGTATATTGAATTGTTTTGTTCATACATTTTAAAATGATGTCTGTATCTTAGAGGAGTATCAACATTTCTTAATCTTTCCTAATTGCTTTATATGTTATATTTTAGACTTACCTTCTTTATTTTTGTTAATATCCATTAGAAACTGAATCTGTCAGATTGTGTGTGTGTGAGCTCGTGCACTAGGGATGGATCCCAGTGCCTCACAGATGTGAGGTAAATATTCTGTCATTGAGCTACTGTCCCCAATTCAGATATGTCAGATTTTGGGTGATTTTAGCAGTTTTTAAAAATTACACTTCCAATTTCTAGAAGAGTTACAGAAATAAGTATTAGAATTTATCTTACCAAATAATGTGACTAATACATCTAAGTCCTTTTTAAAAAATAGTAGACACTATACAGAGATATCTAGTGCATATACATTTGATTGGTACTATGTGCTTTATTGTAGGTATCTTTTTAATGATGCTGAGGTAAAACCTTTTGATTCTGCTCAGCTTGCCTCTGAATGCTTTGGTGGTGAGATGACAGTAAGTTTGATTTAGTAATTGTAAATGATTTATGACTTTCCAGTTACCATAAAATTCAGTAGCATACTCACTTAACATCATTATACCTTCTATTATTCAATCTAAGATTTATTTGTTGCATGTTCACGCATATATCATGCACTAAGAAATGTTTAAAAACTGTTATTTCTGCCTTCAACCATAGTTTGATAAAAATGGTAAGATGAAAAATTTAAATCTTAAAATAGAAATTGAGTTACAGTGTTAGAGTAATTACAATTAAACATAGCTGTTATTCAAGAAGTCCATGGGATTAGAGCAGAAAGAATCTACCCCATACAACATAATCCGGAAAATCTTACACAGGTAAGTTTATTTTTGATAATTTGAATTGTTTCTTCATTGCCCAGAAACCCGGGCCACAGTAGTTCCATGATAAAAGAATAATGTCATTGTTAAATCTGTTAATTGTCTTACTGGAGTGTAGCTCAGTGGGAGTACGTTTGCCTAAGGTGTGCAAGGACTTGGGGTTTGATCTTTGTACTACTACAACAGTTAAAGACTTGACGTCCACGTACAATCATAGTTCATTCTTTGTGCTGAGTTCGACAGTGTGCATACTTAATTCTAAGCAGATGTAATTGGATCTCTGTGAGTTCAAGGCCAACCTTGTCTACATAAGAAGTTCCAGTCCTGTCAGGGCTACATAGTGAAGACCCTATGTTCAAAAAGGAAAAAAACAAAAGAAAAATGTTTCATAAAGCAAATATTTGAAACCAATCCATTTCATAAATAAGACATATGGATTTCTTGATGTTATTCGTTTGTTCATTTATTTATTTTTAATTTTGGTTTTGGTTTCTCTTTGTTGCCCTGGGTGTACTGGAACTCATTATATAGACCAGACTGTCCTTGAACCTGAAGATCCTCCCGGCTATATAAAACTTTTTAAACAAAAGGTTTTCTTATTACTTCTCGTTACTGTTGTCTACAATCTGAATGGAATAGTAGTCTTATGGCTTACAGTTTGGAAATGTGTAAAAAAATAAGACAATATGTGAATACTATGCTATGTCTAAACCAGTCACAAGTTAGTTGTAATTCTTAGAACATTTCCTTAAATGGTTTAAAAATAAAAGACGGAAGAAAACACTATTACAAATCTCTGCAGAACTATTTATGGTCTCATTCTCTTGCATAGTTTTTCAAAAGTAACTTGAATATTTAGAGTCTTTGTTTTCAAGAACTTTTGCCTCTGGATCTTTCCATCACCATTAATTTATCTATAATACAAAGACTGATTCCCTTTAAAAAAAAAAAATCTTTTCATTTCTTGTGGCACATATACCTACCCTTCTTTTCCCTACACATTTAGAGGTAGCTTTTTTTTTTTTTTGGGGGGGGGGGATTTTTGAGACAGGATTTCTCTGTGTAGTCCTGACTGTCTTGGAACTCATCTGTAGACCAGGCTGGCATGGAAATCAGAGATCCACCTGCCACTGCTTCCCTAGTGTTAGGACTAAAGGCGTGCACCACCACTGCCTGGCTAGATGTGACCTCTAGTGCTCTGAAAAGCCCTGCAGTAGAGTTGCTCTTGTCCTACTCCCAGACTCCCTGTTTCCCCCCTGTTTTTTCCCTTCTTTCCCTTTTTTTTTTTTTTTTTTTTTTTTTTTTTTTTTAAATCTTTGCCCAATTATTCTTTTCCGGTATCTTTGGTTGACTAATGTCTTTTTCTGTCTGCCATGAGTTGTGTTCTTCCTGTATATACTGACAAGTCCATTTCTTCTACAAAAATTATAACTCCAAGGCTCACGTTTTTTGATTTTGAAAATTGAGGTAAATTGCTAAGTATTTTGAGATTTTTTTTTTTTTAACCTTGAGGATCATTTTATTTGGTTTTGAGTAACTACACAGCAGACGTGTAGCTTGGTAGCTGCAAGAAGGAAGGTGATGATGACAACGTCATCTTCTGAGCCCTTTTGAGTTAGGGTCAGCAGTGGCCATGAAAACAGGGAATTGGGGGTTGTTCAAGGAAAACAGTGTCAGGGCAAGCATTCTTAACACTTTGGCTAAATTCAAAGGAGAGATACAAAGGAGAAAAGGTATTTTCTAATAAAAAATATGTATTTCATCTATCTTATCCATAATGTTGCTGAAAATATACACATTATATTTAGTACTTATTTCCATTTAACCATATTCAGAAAAATGAGGCAGACAGAACACTATATAAATCCTAAATAAACAAACCTTTTTTAAAAAAAAAAAATGTGTGCAGTGATGTTACGATATGCTAGCTAAATTTGTGAAGTACATAGGACTTTTTGGATGGCTTCTGTGGCTCAAACTTTGTATGTGCTAGGCAACCACTTTAAAACTGTGATAATACCTGCAGCTCTGGATGAAAGGTTTTGTTATTGTTGTTGCTATTTGTGTGTGGTGATTTATTACCACACACAATTTATTACCACACACAATTTATTTATAAACTACTTATGATTTATTAAAGCTTGCCTGAGGATTCAGAAAGCAAAATCAGCCTCAAGCTATAGAGATCAGGCAGTGTACACGTTTAATCCAGCATCCAGAAGCTAGGAAGTGGTACTATGTACCTTAAATCTTAGCACTCAGGATTAAGAGGTAGACAGATATCTTTGAGCCCAAGGCCACCCGGATCTATACAAAGATGATCTCTGCCCCCGGGATCACACGCCTTTAACCCCAGCACTAGATCGGTATAAAACATAGCAGGTTCTTCAGTAGTCAGTATCAGGCATTCATTATCCAGCCACATTGAGGATAGGAAGACATTGAAGTTTTACGATTCTCCAGCAACACTGAGGAGAGGTTGCAGTCTGAGGTTGGGTGGAGCCAGGATTGCCATTCATTCTGAGATAGATTAAGAGCTAGTGACCAGCATTTCTGATCTTTAGCTTGAAGCTTGAACCCAGTATCAGTCTCTGGGTCCTTTTATTTTTCATGCAACATGTATGTGTGTAGCTCAGTGTCAAGAGGCCCTTATACATATTAAAAAAGTACTCTACCACTGAACCACATCCCAAGCATGTGTACATAGGATTTGTATGAATGCACTATTATTTTAGAGTTACTTAACAAGGTTACTTTGAAGTGTTACATAGGTGTTTATGAAATAATGTATGTATAAATTTTGCTGAGTAATTTTTTTTTCCACAGACAAAAACCTATGATTCAGTTACAGATAAATTTATGGATTTCTCCTTTGAAAAGGTGATCATTTTTTTCATATGTAATAATTTAACAATGTTGTATATTATCTAATTATAAATTATAATTTATCAAAAATTGTTTTCCCCTTGCTTTATAAAGACACATAGTGCATATATGCTGTTTTACAAACGCATGGAACCTGAAGAAGAAAATGGCAGAGAATACAAATTTGATGTTTCATCAGAGTTACTAGAGGTAAATTAATTTAATTTTAGCAACAGTTTAAATTATGTTGGGTGTTTATGCAACAAATACCTCTGTCTAAAAGCGTGCAGCACAGCATTAATATCTGTAATCCCAACTAGATATCAGCATATTTACAAAAGTCATAGCTATACTGATTTTTGATGGATGAATGAAAATATATATGAGGGAGGTGCTGTAGTAAATGGCTCAGCAGTTAAGAATGCTTCATGCTTGACCTGAGGACCCATCACCCTTGACAGGAGCTCGCAGCCACCAGTGACTGAAACTCCATGGCTTCCAACACCTTCTTCTGGACTCTGAAAATATTTTTACTTGTATGTACACATTGCCTCCTTACACACACACACACACACACACACACACACTCTCACACTCTCACACTCTCACACTCTCTCACTCTTTCCTGCCCCTCAAATTCTCTTAAGCAAAACAGTGCTTATTGGTATATTTAGTGACTGAAAGAAGACATGTTAATGTGATATTTAGTGTGTTGAAGAAGAAAGGCCAAACATGAGACTAAACAATTATTTATAAAAATCATCAGGGAAGATTGGAAAAAGTACAGTTTTAACATTTAAACGTACATTCTGTTAACTTTTAAATGCCGTTTACTGATGAAGTACAAAAGAATCATCAGTGAAACAAGGCGAGTGATGTTTGAAGCAGAACGACAAGCTTTGACTATGTTGTATCTAGGGACATACTTAATCCATGGCATAGAATTATGACTAAGAGCCTGGCTCTCAGAAATAAAAATGGATCTAGAAGTGAGACCGTGACCTGAGGTAAAAAATTTGGAATGGGACTTTGTTGCTGTTTGTTTTTTTGTTGTTTTTTTTTTGTTGTTGTTGTTGTTTTGTTTTTCAAGACAGAATTTCTCTGTGGCTTTGGAGGCTGTCCTGGAACTAGCTCTTGTAGACCAGGCTGGTCTCGAACTCACAGAGATCCTCCTGCCTCTGCCTCCCGAGTGCTAGGACTAAAGGTGTGCACCACCACTGCCCGGCGTTGCTGTGAAAGTTTTTAATAAGATAGGCCGAAAGCTGTCATGACTCCTTAGCATTGTAGACATCAAGGGTCTAGAGATGCTCAAAAACTGTGGAACACTAGATATTCGCTTAGTAAACCTGTAATTTCCCAGTTACCTTGAACAGTAGCAGCCCTGATAAAACAGGCAAGGAAGGCGGGAGAGATAGGTGAATACTGTTTGTAGAGAATTAGTTATACCATCAATTGAGAATGAACCTACCCACTAAATATGGTGGCATAAGCCTGTAATACCAAAATGAAGGAGGATATACAGAGGATTGCTGAGATTTTCAGACTGGCTACACTGTTAGATCTTGTCTCAAATATAAAAAAAGAAAAAAATAAGAACATAGCATCTAAAGTTTCAAAATACATATAGAAGTGCAGGGCCAAAAAAGACATCTGGTAATAATATTTCAAACAGAAGATTGTTTTATATAATTTTTGAGGCTGAGGACATGTGCTCAGTAGTAGAGCACATGTTTAGTATGCATGGCACGAGCACCAAAATATGTTATTTATTATGGAGCTTTCTGACAAAGGCTAGAAGCATTGTTAGAGTTTTCTAAGGAATCAGGAAACAATGTCTAAGATGTGCCACAGATTTTTTAAGGATTTTATTTATTATGTGTAGAGTCTTCTGCCTGCATGCCAGCAGAGGGCACCAGATCTCATTCAAGGTGGTTGTGAGCCACCATGTGGTTGCTGGGAATTGAATTCAGGACCTCTGGAAGAACAGTCAGTGCTCTTAACCGCTGAGCCATCTTTCCAACCCCCACAGATTTTTATGTCCCCCTCTGAGACAGGATTTCATAGCCATGGCTGTCCTGGAACTAGCTCTGTAGACCAGACTGGCTCTGAACTCACAGAGATTTGCCTGCCTCTGCCTCCCAAGTACTGGAATTAAAGGCATGTGCTATTACAGCCCAGTTACTGCCATGTAATTTTTATTATCAAATTTAAACATACCCTACTCTTAAATCCTGTCTTTATCAAAATGTAGCATGATTTATGTTTTCTTATTTTATATATTTGCTCTTTAGACCAGCTTTCAGAGCTCGTACTTCAAAATTTTTATAAATAATGTAAAAGCCTGTGATCTCTGATGTAGTCAGATAAATATTTTATAAAGGGCAAATTGTGGGGCTGAATCAATGGCTCATTGGTTAAGAACACTTGTTGCTCTTACAGAGAGAGAACCTAGGTTTGGCTCCCAGCATCCTCAAGGTAACTATTTGTAACTTTAGTTGGAAGAGTTCCAACACCCTCTTCTGGCCTCCATTAGCAAGAAGTATACAAATGGTGTACATACAAGCATGCATATACACACACACATACACAAAATAAAGATTTTTTTAAAGGGGGATTAGAATCCAGGTGTTGGTGTCACACGCCTTTAATCCCAGCATTCACTTGGGAGGCAGAGGCAGGTGCATCTCTGTGAGTTCGAAACCAGCCTGGTCTACAAGAGCAAGTTCTGGGACAGCTTCCAAAGCCACAGAGAAACCCTGTCTCGAAAAACTCAAAAAAATTAAATAAAAGGGGGTTAGGTTTAGTAACAACCTCTCTTAAAGATATTTTAAAACTTTATGTGTTTTGCCTTCATATGTCTGTATGTGCATCATGTGTGTACTTGGTGTCTACAGAGGTCAGTAGATATTGGCTTTCCCAGAACTGGATTTATGGGTGGTGATAAGCCACCAGGTCTCTGTTGAGAGCTGAACCCAGTTCCTCACACAACAAGTGCTGTTAATATCTGAGCCTCCTCTCAAACCCTAGAATCTACTTTTATACTCCTTATACCTGGAAGAAAAAAGTCAATATGAATTTTAAATGCATATTTTTGTTTGTTACCTTTGTAGATTTATAGACTATACTGTTTCTTGTTAAATAAAAATATTAAAATATGTTAGTAAACTGCTTTTTGATAAATGCTAACATTTTTTCTCCAGTGGATTTGGCATGACAACATGCAATTTTTACAAGACAAAAACATTTTTGAACACACTTATTTTGGGTAAGTTTGGATAAATTTAGTCTTCTTCCTTATTTTCTATTTCTAAATAAAGTCTTCTGTAAGAATTTAAGTAACTTTTTTTAAATTTCAGGTTTATGTGGCAGCTCTGCAGTTGTATTCCAAGTACATTACCAGATCCTAAAGCTGTGTCCCTAATGACAGCAAAGGTGATGACAAGCTTAGACAGCTTTGTTAGACTTACTGCTTTGCAATAATTATTTTTTGCTCAATTAAATCTTTTTTTTTTGACAGCTAAGTACTTCCTTTGTTTTAGAGACATTTATTCATTCAAAAGAGAAGGTATGCGTTTTTGTTCTATAGATTTTTGTTTGTGTCAGTTACATTTTTTAAAATTATATTTGGTGTTTGTTATCATTGATTTAAGTCTTACCTGACTTTTTTTCTTTGCACATTTTAGCCAACAATGCTTCAGTGGATTGAGCTACTGACCAAACAGTTTAATAATAGTCAAGCAGCCTGTGAGGTAAGATGACATCAAACTGCACTCCTTAAAATTCTCTAATTCGAAAGTTTTTTTCTTTTAAATCTTAACTGAGATGATGCAGCAAACTTGTTTTTTTTTTTTTTAAGATTTTTTTTATTTGAATTAGAAACAAGATTGTTTTACATGTCAATCCCAGTTCCCTCTCCCTCCCCTCATCCTTTACCACCCCTTACTCCCCCAACTAAAACCCTACCTATTACATATCCTTTCTGCTCCCCAGGGAGGGTGATGCCTTCCTTAGGGGGTCATCAGATTCAATCATATCCTTTGGGATAGGGCCTAGGCCCACCCCCGTGTGTCTTGGCTCAGGGAATATCCCTCTATGTGGAATGGACTCCCAAAGTCCACACCTATGCTAGGGATAAGTACTGATCTACTACAGGATGTCCTGTAGATTTCCGTGGTTTCCTCAATGAAACCCACATTCCTGAGGTCTAGATCAGTCCCATGCTGGTTTCCCAGCTGTCAGTCTGGGGACCAAGAGCTCCCCCTTGGTCAGGTCAACTGGCAAACTTGTTTTTATCTGTTAGGAGTCATTTCCCTGTAAGGGTCTTCCTAATATTTATCACTTAGAAAGTTATAGCTTATATTTCAAATCTGTTATAAAGATTGAGGTATTAATTCATTTTCATAGTCTTGGATTTTCCCCTTAGTATTACACAGGTATAAATAAGACTTCAGTCTGGGTGTGATCCTGCACAACAATAATCCCAGTACACAGATGTAAGAAACAGGATAATCATGAGTTAAGGCCAATCTCTGCCTGTGTGTGTGTGTGAGTGTGTGTGTGTACAAAGAAACAAACAATGAGTATAGGGTCAGCCTGAGTTATGTAGTAAGACTGCCTCCCAAAAAGAGAGCTGTCTTTCTCTGCCCCTGCAGTCCTGGCATTAGGTGTGTATCACCGTGCCTGTCTGATGCTTGTGTTTGGAATCCAGGGCCTTACATGCTATACAAATGTTATATCACTGAGCTAAACTCTCATCCCCAGATAATTCTTTACCCATTTTGGTTTGATTTACCCCCCCTAGCTTGGAAGTGTAATTGGTAAATACAAAATGTGCACAATTAAGATGTAGAATACATTGTCTTATGATACATATGTACATTGTAAAATATTTATCACAATGAAATTAGTAAATTGTTGACCCGGTAGACACTATTTTTGTTGTGTGTGAATGAAGATACTTAAGATAGACTCTCAGCCTAGCCTGTTGCAAGTAAACCATTCAGGCTTGATAACCAGTTAACTGTGCTGTATGTAGTACCCCTAGAATTATTCTTCCTATAATCAAAACTTTGCTTGCTTGAGCCACAATCTTTCCATTTTTCCTACTCCTCACTTAACTTGTTTTGTTTGTTTGTTTGATTGATTGGATTTTGTCATGTTTATCATTTGCTGACTTTGAACTAAAGGCAATCATTTTGTCTTCAGCTCCTAAATACTGGGATTACAGGTGTGCACTGCCACACTAGGCTCATAATTACTTTGAATTTTAATATAAAATAATATATTCAGGAGCTAGCAAGATGGCTAATAGCACTTGCTGCACAAACCTAAGGACCTGAATTGAGTCCCTAGGAACCACATAAAGATGGGAGAAGAGAACCTTCTCCTGAGCCCATCTGATTCCCACATGTTTGCACATACACCATGGACACATGCATGCAGAGTGGCCCAATGGTTAAAGAGCACCAACTGCTTTTCCAGAGGACCTGGGTTCAATTCCCAGCACTCAAGCGGCAGCTCACAGTTATCTGTAACTCCAAGGTCTGATACCTTCGCACAGACATACATGCTAGCAAAACACCAGTGCACATAAAATATATTAAAACTAAATTACTTAATACAATGTTTTGTTAACAACCAAAAAAGTATTAACCATCCTAGTAATTCTAGATTTTGGTTCTTTTTTAGTCATGGGAAATAGTGGCATAGTGCATAAAAGATGAAATTAGTTGAAAATTTTTGCTTTCTTATATCCTCCTGTAATTTTAGCTTTTAGTAGTACAAAAAGAGAACCCAATCATCAGAAATTTCATAAAATTTCTAAATAAAATAGGTGAAAAGCCAAAATGAAAGGTTGCTTTGCCTGCTACCCAACTTCCACAAAGTAATTTTCCATTCCTAAGCTCTTCTCTGATGCCTTCTTTCAGCAGATATGCTTACAGACCAAGCTCAGAAAGCGTATCTTTTGTTTTGTTTTTTTCTAGACAGGGTTTCTCTGTATAGCCCTGGCTGCCCTGGAACATAGACCAGGGTGGCCTTGAACTTAGAGATCCACTGTCCTCTACCACCTGAGTGCTGGAATTAAAGGTGTGTGTAACTCCACCCAGCTTCATATATTTAATAATATTCAATATATATGTCTAACAGATGAGAAGTAAAAAATCTGTAACAATAATTCAATTTCTTTGACTAGAATTAAGTAGTGTTTTTGTTTTTGTTTTGTTTTTTTAACTTTCAGCAAATTATTCTTTGCTTAGTTTTCTCTGTTGCCAACAAGCTGTTTTCAGATGTTTTGATTCAGTGTTCGGACAAGATGTACATTTTACATTTCTCTAAAATCTCTTTTCATCTATCACAGTTACTTTCCTTCTGTCTCCATGCCACTTTCTATTCCTTTTCTTTAAGCACCTCAGATTGCCTTCTTGTCCAATAATGAATTGATGTCTGTGGAGTCCTATAATGAAGCAATCCTTGGTATTTTAGGCTTAAGATGTTGTAACAATTAGAGAAGCCATTTTAGTAAGAAATTAAAATGATGGAATCATTAAGTAAATATCCTTATGTGAGTTTTGCCTCATTTAACTTATTAAGTAATATGTGAATATTAAATCATATTCTGTTTTCTTACAGTGGTTTTTAGACCGAATGGCTGATGATGACTGGTGGCCAATGCAGATACTAATTAAATGTCCTAATCAAATTGTGAGACAGGTAAGGAAAGATACCTTTAAAAAAAAAAAAAAAAGAAGTGGCTTTCAGTTTATTCTAAATTGGCCTAAAATGGCATTAAAAATGATTTGCAAAGCTCTGTCTCCTATCATAGAAGTAGTTTGCTTTATTTTTCATCTCTTTTAACACCAGTTGTCACTATGAAGTGACAGGAACTTTCTCCTTTATATAAGACCAGCTGTTATTGCTGGCTTTTCTCATCCTCACAGAGTCTACCTAGAGTATTGTAGTGACCCACAACATTACATGAATAGGGTAAATTTATTCTTGTTCCAACGTCTGAATTGCCAAATGGATCGAAATTCTTTTTGCTTAAATCATTAGAAAATTTATCCAGTGAATATTTAAACATTGTTTCATAGCCATGTTTGCTGTATCAAAACTTAATATGAACTATGCCACTTGCAGTTGTTCTTAAAGGGTAGTTCTTTTGGTATGAGAATTAGCAGTATTGTGTATTCAGAGACTTTTCTGGTAATGAGCTATAGAAAAGGGTAGTCTTCAGACAAGTCTTCTGTAAAACTCACTGAGAAACATCATCACTTCAAAGAATCTAGTGGTCTTCCCCTCATGCTTTCAACTCCTCATAACTACTGTTCTGCTTTCCATCACTGTGGATTGGCCTACTTTCAACATTTTATGTAGATTCATGGTGTTTTCTTTCAGGACTGGCTGTTTTGACTTAACTTTCTTAAGATATGTCAAAATGTGTGTCTGGAACTGAATATGGTAGCTCATGCCTTTAATCCTAGCATTCAGAAGACTTGGTTAGAATTACCATGAGTTTGAGAACAGCCTGGGCTACAGTGAAAGTGTTCTTAACAAAAAGAAAAAATATATCCTATCTTTACTTCATCTCTCTCTCTCTCTCTCTCTCTCTCTCTCTCTCCCCCCCCCCAAGAAAATATTCCATTGACAAATTGGTATATTGTGTTTGTCTGTTCATTAGATGAACATGAGAGATTTTCACTTTTTGCTATTGAGCAGAGTCTGTCCTGGAACTTACTAGGTAGACCAGACTAACCTGACACTTTCCTGTCTCTGCCTAAGGAATGCCAGTGTAAGAGTGTGGGGCACCATATCCAGCTTTATTACTATTTTCTGACTGTTTTGGATGAGGTTATAGCCATTTGTCTATAAGATTTTGCTTTGATCAGTATTTTAATTTTGGTATGTATTTACAAGTGGATTCCTAGTCACACAGTCATTCTTACATTCAACAGTTTTGATTTTACCACAGAGTCTGTAACACTATATTTCTCTTAATGAATATATGTGGGCTTCAGTTTCATTGTATCTTCTCTAACACATACATACCAGCTGAGAATGTGTCATAAAGCTTTTGAGTTTGGTATCCATATTACTGAAACCAATAGTTTGAGTTTTCTTGTCATAAAGCTAAATTTTTAAAAAATAATTTTCTGGTGGTGGGAAATTGTACCCAGGACCTTGGTGCATAGTGGGATTCACTCCACCATTGAGCCATATCTGCAGTCTCTGACTATTACTACTCAAATGAGGTCCTGCTACATAAAGCACAGAGTGGCTTCAATGTGAAGTGCTCATGCTTCTGCCTCCTGTGTAATAACATTACAGGTGTGTGCCACACCTAGATGTGCTACATCTGTAGTGTCTGTAACCTAGTGTGAGTTTCTCCTTTACAGATGTTTCAGCGTTTATGTATCCATGTGATTCAGAGATTGAGACCTGTGCATGCTCATCTCTATCTACAACCAGGAATGGAAGACGGGTAAGAAATCCTTTTAGAAAAAAAGACTTTTAAAGTATATATAAGGAGATATTGGGCTGTGCTACAACAATTTGTCTCTAATAATGCACATCAAGAAAGGATATTTGTCGAGTTTTTGACTAAGCGCCTCTAAGATTCCCAGCAGCTAACTCTTGTGTGGATTGATAGAATCTCAGTATTAGGAACATAACTACTTACATCATTGAAGTTGATATTTGTTTTGACAAAATTAAAGGATGTAAGTTGGAGTTTTAAAAATTGTTCTCCTAGCATGGTGGTGCACACCTTTAATCCCAGCATTTAGGAGGCAGAAGCAGGCTAATCCCTATGAATTCAAGGCCAGTCTGATATATAAAGGAATTCTACAATCAGACCTTGCCTCAAAGGGGGGGAAAAAAAAAAAAAGGAAATAGTTTTGCCTCAGACAATATCTGTCTGCAGATTCATCATGTTCTATAAGGTATGTTTGTTTGTTTGTTTGTTTTTCAGGTCAGATGATATGGATGCCTCAGTAGAAGATATTGGCGGTCGTTCATGTGTCACTCGATTTGTTAGAACTCTGTTGTTAATTATGGAACATGGTGTAAAACCTCACAGCAAACATCTTACAGAGTATTTTGCTTTCCTTTATGAATTTGCCAAGATGGGTGAAGAAGAGGTAAGGCTAATTCTTACTCATTTGTTAGTTTTGAATTACATACTTTTTAGCATACCAATTTGTGTTTTATGTAAAAATTTAAATCTCTTGTTTTTAGAGCCAGTTTCTGCTTTCATTGCAAGCCATATCTACAATGGTACATTTCTATATGGGAACCAAAGGACCTGAAAATGTAAGTATAGTTCTGTTAGTATCAGTGCAGCAAAGTACATGGTTCTGGTAGTCCACATCATGCAGGATTATGATAATCCTAGAAACCCTTAAAGTTCTTCTGTTATCTTGTCTGGTAATGTTAAAGGTCCTAGGTTTATTGGTCTTGGTGCTATTACTTTAGTGCCTGTACCAAGTAGAAAACAAATTGAGTGTTGTTTCATTAGTAGGTATGGAACAAAGCAAATAGACATCCTCCTAGTTGCCACAACTTAACCATGGCATGTGTGAAGCAATGTGTTGTTTTGACTTATGATTTTGGTTGTCACTCTTTACTATTAAGTTTTTCAGAGTTTTCTGAAAGTTTCAGTAGCTAGTCAATTTAATATTAAAGTATGGCTGGAATTTGTATTGTGCCTGTGACAGTTACATTGGATTTTATGGCCTACGTGTAATATTTCATTTAACCCTTCTCATATCCTTAAGAGAGAAGTACAGATGAGGCAATTGAAGCTTAGAAAATTTCACTTGTTTTAAATCACAAGTTGGGCTTTGATCCAAGATCAGACTGCTGAGTGAAAAGTCTCTTAAAAACCATGGTGCTTGGGGCTGGAGAGGTGGCTCATAGTTTAAGAGCACTTGCTGCTCTTCCAGAGGTCCTGAGTTCAATTCCCAGCACCTACATGGTGGCTCACAACCATCTGTAATGAGATCTGGTGCCCTCTTCTGGTGTGTAGAGAACTTTCAAACAGAACTTTCCATGCATAATAAATAAATAAATCTTTAAAAAAATTAAAAAAAAAAAAAAAAAGCCGGGTGTTGTTGGCGCACGCCTTTAATCCCAGCACTCGGGAGGCAGAGGCAGGTGGATCACTGTGAGTTCGAGGCCAGCCTGGTCTCCAGAGCGAGTGCCAGGATACGCTCCAAAGCTATATAGAGAAACCCTGTCTCGAAAAACAGAAACAAAAAAAAAGCCACGGTGCTGTCTTAGAGTTCATGAGTTGGTTTAATCCAATTCCTGCCTGTATGGCTGCTGGTTTTGCTTGCTTCTTGTACTTTTCTTTTTCTTCTTTTCTCTTCCTCCCCTCCCTTCCTTCCTTCTTTCCTTCTTATCATGACCGGATCTTGTTAATGTATCCTACCTAGACTACCTCAAACTTAATTGTCTTAGCCAATTGAGTACTACCATTCCTGATAGTCTCTTGAGTTAAGAGCCTGAATGAATATCTCTTTGAAATATCTACTACTTAAATTATCTAGAAACTACAACTTAAGATGTCTTTCGTATGTATGACTGGCATTTTTATTCAGTAAGAAATACTATTTTATCATATTAATATTTTTTATCTTAATCATTTAAAGAGCTTGAATCCAACAAAACAGAAGTTATTAAAGGGTTTATCCAGGATTAATAGTTTTGGGAACTGTGTTCTGTTTAGTTCCTCTAACTCACCTAAAAGTATCCTGATTATCTTTTAGGCTGTATCAAGGTAGAGTTTGACCTTTGAATTATTTTTCCTAATAAATGCTCCTGCCGCATCTTTCTAATACTTCCATTAAAATAAGTCAGCTGTTTTCAGTATGATACTAAGAATAATAGCATATTGAAATTGAATTTTGTTCCATTAGCCTCAAGTTGAAGTCTTATCAGAGGAAGAAGGGGAAGAAGAGGAAGAAGAAGAAGATATACTCTCTCTGGCAGAAGAAAAATACAGACCTGCTGCCCTTGAAAAGATGATAGCTTTAGTTGCTCTTTTGGTTGAACAGTCTCGCTCAGAAAGGTGAAATGTTTCAACATTCAAAATGCTTACAGCGTGTTTGGTTTTATTCTTTATACATAATTGTTCTATCACTTCGGTTTTTATTACATAAATCTTTTAAAATAATAATATCACTTCAACTCTTGTGGCTCACGAATTTCAATCCTTTCTATCTAAATCGTCTGAGTCGTGCTAGAAACAGCTATTGAAAGAAGTCTGTAGTGAAATATCTGGCAAAAGTAAAATGGACATTCATTCTTTATCCCAGCAACAATACTCCAGTGATCTGCCCCCAAACAGAAAGATATATATGGAGAGGTATTTATTACAATACTATTTGTAGTATCAAAAAATTGGAGACGGCCAAATGTTCACCAGAAGGGGACGAGTCATTGAAACATCAAGAAATCCACTCAAGTCCACTATAGTTTTGTTTTTTTTTTTTGTTTTTCTTAATGAAATGTGGAATTCACCTGTGTTAACATGTAGAAATCTTTATTATGCACACATCTGCCCTTTTCCTCTCCTCCCTTCAAAAGTCAAGGTAGAGAAGGTTGTATATAATATGCTACTTTTAGGAAAAGGGAAACTAAGAAAATGTATGTGTATGTAGCCAATCCTCATTCATGCATTTCCAATTTACAAAGTCACATACTTGCTATATTTATCCGTAATGAAAAAAAAAAAATCAGTACTGTGAGGAGCTTTCACAGTCATCCACAAAGACATATGATGTTCAGAATGGTGAAACATTGGCGTTTCCTGCACATGCTTTCCCAGCTGAGGTCAAACAAGGCAGTGATCTGCTGTCTTGTTTTGATTTCTATGTTGTAAACAAATGTACTTTTCATGATGTATGCCACATTTAAAATATATTTGTGCTTTTCCTTTGGTATGTCACTGTTTAAATGGTTCCCAAGAATAGTGCTGAAGTGTGCTGTTTAGTGTTCCTGAGCTTAAGGAAGGATGTGTGTCCCCCAGTGGAAATGAATATAGTAAAGTTTCATTCAGGCATGAGTCCAATACTGTTGGCTGTAAGTTCACTGTTAATCAATCATACATATTAAATAAGGTGTCATTAAACAAAAACACCTGTAAAATATGGTATTGTATTGCTCAGTTGATAACTGTGTGACAACATGTTCACAGGGGCCTAGTTCTGTTTCGTTTCTGTAGCAATGATGATTTGGTTTTTGGTAATTCATTGTTTGTACTGTTTCATAGGATGTGACTATTCAAATATCAAGAATTAACTATAAATCAAATCATCAATTAATAATATGGTTTTGAGAGAAAACAAGATTGCGGGCACAGAAATTGAAACTTGACAAAACCAAACGTTTTCGTTTTATAGAGTTAGCTCTCAAATCCTGTAAATGTTTTGTATAATTATAAGTAAGTATATAAGAAGCAGTATTTTAAAACAAAAGTGAAGGTGATACAGCCACTGGAGAGGAACTAAAGAACATGTTTGCTGTCATTTTCTAACAGGATGTACATGAAGGACAAGAATTAATTGCAAAATTATTTTTAAGCTGTCTTAATAATCATGTTGTTGCTAATATAATTAGAAATTATTCTGAAGGTATTATGTGCTCAGGTACTGGGCAAGAAATGAGTGAGATTCTTGGAATGTTTTTGTTTTGTTTGGTTTTGTTTTGTTTTTTACTTTAAGAAGTATAGAGACTAAATAGACTACTCTGGGGTCATGTACTCAACAGTGTACTTTAGGAGTTTCTGTTGCTTTTATGTTGAACAAGGTACACATCAAAAGTAAGAATAACTGTGATGGAATGTAAAACACATCAAGATGTTTACACTGATAAGCTCAGAATGATACCATAAAAGAAAATCTGAAAAACTTGTTGGCAACCTTTGACATATACTGAGAAAGCAAATCTTTATTTTGAAAACTGGAAAGGAAATGGTGTAAAGGATATGTTTATCTTACCTGCAAGAAATAAAAGTTGATGTCAACTGAGTGGTGGATGAGGGAAAGTTCATCAATACAGAGCTGTTTCAACTAATAAATGAGCAAGGAGTGTTGGAATTAGAAAATCACTCTCTTGACCCTAAGTGAAATAATGCTTCCAAGGTCATCACTGGTGGAAAATGTCATAAAGACTAACCCTTCATTATGTGTCTCCCTGAGGAAAGTCCACATCACATCACCACCTACAAAATACCCTTCATTACAAAGTGAAGCCTAGATCTGATCAAGTCTTTAGATCTGCCTACCATTTTACAGGAGCAGAGGAATGTGTTAAAACAACACCATCAGGATACAATTAGCAAAACATAAATATTGGAATCGCTACAGGACAAACAAGCTGCTTTCTTCAATGGATAAGTTGCAGTGAAGTGCCAAGGGAAACCAGTAGATAAAAAATTTTAAAGACATTAAAACCAATTGTAACAAAAGACTTTCATTCAGATCCAGATTGAAACAAATTAACTATAAAATATTTTTTAGACACCTTAGTAAATTTGTACACTGATATTGTAAGATAGTAAGGACTTGTTGCTTTACTTTAGGCATGAATAATGGTACTATGGTTATGTTTTTTTTTTTTTTAATTTTCCTGAGATGTATTGAGATTTTGGATTAAATGATAAAATATCTGGAATTTGCCTCAGAATAATGCATATTGAATGGCTGTTGGTAAAAGTGAAACAGGATTGGCTAATATTTGGGTAAATTTGAGTGATGGGATACTTGGCAATATGCTTTTTTAAAAAATATATCTGAATTTTTGTATAAGTTAAATGCATTATATTTCTTAGAATTTCATTTTGTTTTAAACATTTATGTCAGAAAAACAGCTGTCAAAATTAAATTAGGCCCATCCTAGCATTTTAATATATTAATTCTATTGATTTTAATGAATGAAATGGAAATAAAGTAGACTTGGTGTTCCATATTCCAATCTTGGAAAATTACCCAAGATACTTAGCTAGCAAACCTAGCTATCAACTACTTCCCCCCAAATTTTAGGATGGCAGGTTGATATGATTATAATAGAATTGACAGGTTTCATGCATGTCGTGCTGTTAATAGCTACAAAGTAGTACACATGGAAAAGATTTATTTCCACTAATATTTTCTTTTAGGCATTTGACATTGTCACAGACTGACATGGCTGCATTAACAGGAGGAAAGGTAATACCTTTACTAATGTTAAACAGTTTAACCATTATAAAAGTAAATAATATAACGTTCTTAAATGAACAACTTTTGTTCTTAACAGGGATTTCCCTTCTTATTTCAACATATTCGTGATGGCATCAATATAAGACAAACTTGTAATCTCATTTTCAGCCTGTGTCGATACAATAATCGACTTGCAGAACATGTAAGTACTGAAAGCAGTCTTTCAACTTTTTTGATAATTTTTAAAAGAATATTCTGAAATCGTGCTTTTTCTGTTTCAGATTGTATCTATGCTTTTCACTTCAATAGCAAAGTTGACACCTGAGGTAAGTAAGAGTTTGATAATAAGAATATAATTTGAACTAACAGTTAATTCTCCTTTTATTGCAAATATAATTTTCCAACTAAATACAAATTTATGCATATAAATTCAGTATATCAGCATGCTACTTATATGCCAGGCTTCAAAGTTATTTGGCTTAAGGTATATGTCATAAACTATCCAGGATTCTGTATATATGCAGGAATATATGGATAGCAATGTACTATCCATATCCAATAGAAGCATTTAGCAATCGCATTACTCAGCAGACAGAGGAAGGTGGGTCTCTGTGTTCAAGGTAGTCTTGTCTTTGTAGTATGTCCTAAGAGAGCCATAGCTACATAGAGAGACCTTATCTCAAACCCCCCCCACCCTGCTCCAAAAAAAGAACAAACGTCTTCTTTTTTCATAAAAAGAAGCCTTTAGCTACTTTAATAAATGTTCAATATCAATATAAATGCTTTCTTTAGGGGTGTTTAGGGATGAGAAATTACTACCGGAAGCAATACAAGGTTTTCAATAAAACACATGTGTTTTATTGGTAAAATTTATTGAAAATTAGACAGTAAAAATGAGTTTCAGAGATTGATTTTACAACGTTGAACTATAGCAAATAAAGCATTTTCAAGTACACAGTATGTTGAGAATTGATTTGTGTTTTTACTACAAAACAAGGTAAATATGTGAGATAGCACATGTTAATTAGCTGTATTTAGCCATAACATAGTGTATATATATTACAAAATATTACCTAAATATTAAATATATAAAATGGTTAGTAGTCAATTTATAATCAAATAAACATCTTGAGTTTCCTTTTTTCTACGTTCATTTGACATCCAGAAAAATCTATTCAATGTTGCTTCTGTGTAATTGGTTTCATCTTCTAATTCTTCTGTTGTTCATGATTTATGGTAGTTCAAATGCAGGAGTGCTGACTAAGCTCTGCCAACTCAGCAGAGCAGATTTAAATAAGGCTAAAACAGTGTGTGTCTCAAAAAGTTACGTATGTCTTACAGGCAGCCAATCCTTTCTTTAAATTGTTGACCATGCTAATGGAATTTGCTGGTGGACCTCCAGGAATGCCTCCCTTTGCCTCTTATATTCTGCAGAGGATATGGGAGGTAAGTCTTGAAGTACATGCTTCCAGTCTTTTATCTTCTTAGGGAGTTTCCTTTTGTTGTTGTTTTGATTTTGTTGTTGTTGTTTTAATTTTTTTCTTTTTATTAAAGAGTAATTTTACTTTAAGCAAGACAGAATATAGCAAAATTGAGTGGAAGGTACAGATACTTCCCACCCACCCCTGCCTTCATGGATTTTGCTTTTTTATACTGTTTCCACCATCTTACATTTCTGTTTCTTATTTGGGTCAAATGAACCAAGTGTTTTCAACAGTTGATACAGGCAGAAGAAATATCAAATACTGCTTCTTTTCTTTCAGGGTCATTGCTGTCAGAACAGATTTCTTGGTAAGGACTGGAAAAGCTCTAGGCCAGGACTCAGTAAACCCTTTTTCTAAAGGCCAAATGCCAAATGTTTATGAAGTTTTGTAGATCACAAATATTTGTTGAAAATGTTCAACTATGCTGTTGTCACCTGAAAGCCATTCATGAGGCAATAAATAGGAAGCTTGGCAGTATTCAAATAAAAGGACAGAATAAACAAACAGCCATAGAATGTAGCCTATAGTCCAGAGACTGCCATCCACTGCTCTAGATTACCATAATTCCCATTTCCATAAAAAGAATCTCCGTAACAATTCATTGTGCTCTTTTGCATTCTCATGTAATAGTAATAGTTTGGACATAGAATAAGAAAAAGTCTAATGAGGAACTCTAGAAAATTGGAAGTGCTTTCTCCTCCCTGTCAATTGTGGAGATAAAATCCAGGACTTAGTTCATGCTTTGCCAGTATTCTAGCACCAAGACATATCACCAACCAAAATATGTTTAAGTAAATTAATAAACTTAGCAAGTCCATTGGATTCTCATGTTTGTCCTGGTTATTTTAAATTTTGTGAACTAGCAACAAATTTTCCTGAGTTTTTCCTGCTCTTTGAGCATAGTAGGAAAATATGGGCAAAACTTCTGTAAAAAACTAGTTTAAAGAAAATGAAAAGGGGCTCGAGAGATGGCTCAGTGGTTAAGAGCACTGGCAACTCATCCAGAGTTCCTGAGTTTGATTCCTAGCAACCACATGGTTTCTCACAACCATCTATAGTAGGATCTTATACCCTCTTCTGGCTTAAAGGTGTACAAGCAGATAGAGCACTCATATATATATACATAAAATAAATAAATATTAAGAAAAAAGGAAAAGTAATGGCCTGGAGAAATGACCAGGTATTTAAGAGCACTTGTTCTTGTGTATGACCCACGTTCAATTCCAATCACCCAAAGGGTGGCTCACAACCACTCATATAACTAGTTCCACTTATACAAATAAGCTCTAAAAAGAAAAAATTAGCTAAATAATTAATGACATTTACCAAAGGAAAGTAGATATCAATTGCTCATTCAGTTACATTATGTCCTGTTTTTGTCATTTTATTTATAGGTTATTGAATACAATCCTTCTCAGTGTCTGGACTGGTTGGCAGTGCAGACACCCCGAAATAAGCTGGCACACAGCTGGGTCCTTCAGAATATGGAAAATTGGGTCGAACGGTTTCTTTTGGCTCACAATTATCCTAGAGTCAGGACTTGTAAGTCAAATGTTTAAAATTTAGCCGATTATTTATTGTTTCAAATGTTAGGTTTGTTTTACTGTTTGTTGGTTCGATTTTGAGTTTTGGGGGGTGGTGGAGGTAACTCAGCGATATACTCATTATTATGTAAAGCTCTGAGAGGTATCATAAAATATCAGTTTTTGTTTGATACTATGAGTATCTATTGTATTTTTGTTTTGTTTCTAAGTGTTACTGAAGAAAGTAGATGATGAGAAAATTCTTTATTAAAGGTAACTCTTGATTCCAGGACAGCCAGAGAGAGCTACATAGTGAGATCCCATCTTGAAAAAACAAGTAACTCTCGAGAAGGCTATGATTAAAATAGTAATTAAGGCAGACATCCATGGATATAATTATGATAGTTAAGTAATACACATCTTTTGTGTCCAAGCCATTGGCAAAGTCTTAGAAGACAGATGGAGAGGCACTCGGTATTCTAAAGAATGTGGCCATGTCAAATGGACCAGAGCGCCTGAGAGAACTGCAGTTACTAAAACCACAACAGTTTCAGTAACAAATTTTAGAATACTCTGTGTTCTAGTCCAAAGTATAAAGTGATATTTACAACTTCATACTGATTCCCAGCACCCATGTGGCAGCTCACAAACTCCTGTGACTGCTGTTCTGAGGGATCTGATAACCTCTTGTGGCCTCAGCTGGCACCAGGCCCCAGCTGGTACACAGACATAAATTCAAGCAACACACACTTGAGCAAATAAAGATAAACAAATCCATAAAAGAGAATACTGAAGAATTTGTATGTGCTCCCCAGGAGGTGGACCATAACTCCTCGTTTGTAGGAGCTTAGTGATGCCCGTGAAGAGTAGACATGAGTGTGAGAAGTAGCCTGGCCGTGAGGGAATGTGACTAACAGGCAAGTGCTCAGGGTGACTTTCACAAAGTCCAGTGGAGAGTGGACCCTGACATGCTGCAGTATCCTGAGCTAAACAGTCATAGCGTCAGACAACCTCGATTTAAGAGACACACTGTGAACTACCTAATTGGTACTCCTCAGAACTACCAAAGTTACCAGAGACAAGGAGTCTGAGAAACTGTCAGAACCAAGAAGAACTTCAGGGGATGTACTAGTTAAAAATGATGTGTGTCCAGACAGGATCCTGGAAGCAAACAAAAGCACCATGGGGTAAAAGGAGTGAAATCTAAGTTGTGGAGTAAATAGTAATTTGTCTTTGTTAGTTCCTTAGAATAATTTAGCATAATAATAGTAGATGTTAATGGTAGTAGAAGCTTGGTGAGAGTTATATGGGAGTTGTGTGTGCCACCTGTCTGAAGTCAGATGTTTATCTGAAAGGCCTTTTCAGTGGAGGTTACCTGTAGATTGGCATTAGTACTCTGCCCAGAGTCTTGCCTTCTCCCTTACATACTTTATTTGACCTCATAATCCTGTTAGTTTGTTTAGCCAGATGTTAAACTGATGTTCATGATAATACTGTGGAAGTGAATTTTTCTACATAGTACTAATACTGTAATATTACTTTCACAAAAGGCCATAGCAGTTTGTGTCAAGATCCTTTAAGAATCCAGGTGGTAATGGTGTTGCACATCTTTAGTACCAGCACTAGGGAGGCAGAGGCAGGCAGATCTCTGAGTTTGAGGTCAGCCTGGTCTACAGAGCAAGTTGCAGGACAGCCAGGGCTACAAAGAGAAACCCTGTCTCAGAAAAACAACAACAGCAACAACAAAACCCACCAAGACTCTTTAAGAAAAATATGTCCCCTCTGTAAGGATCCAGGCATTACGCTGGCCTGCCCATGTCACCTGGCAGAATGTACTCAGGCAGTACCCTGGTCAGCCCAGGGTTCCATGACTACTAGTCTGGAGGCAGGTGCAAAAGACCCCTTTACGCTCTCTTTCTGCTCCTCTCTTTCCTGCTAGTTCCCCTGGGGCAGACAGGACTTTTCCTGTCTCCCTCCTCCTCTTCTGTCCTCTGTGTGTCTTTTTTCCTCTTCTCCCCCCCCCCTTTCTAATAAAACTTCTCACTAAGCTTTGTCTGCCTTGGCATGTTTGCCCCTCTGCCTCGGTCACCCTCGCCTGCCATGGAATCCGCCAAGCTTCCCCTTGTGCTTTTTCCTAACACCTTCCACCTAATTTTTTAAAATATCTTTTTTTACTTTATTTAAATTAAAAACAATCTTATTTTACATACCAATCACAGTTCCCTCTCCCTCCTGCTCTCCCAGGCCCCTACCAACCTCCCATCCCACCCCACTTCCACTCCCCAGGGAAGGTGAGACTTCCCATCCCTCCACTTAAAACTTGTAATACCATTCCAGGACTTGTATATAAGTCATTTGTCCAAAATATACCTGTCCGCTCAGTGAGAATCCTGACTTGGTTACATTATAGTTCCATAGTCTCAGTAATAGGCTTAATGACAAGCTTAACATGGAGTCTCTGAGTTGTAGTTAGCCTTTAGAAGACCATTGGCAAAGAAGAAGGACAGTTTCATTGAGAAGCACTTCCCCAAAGCAGCGAGGAATCTGTAAAATGAGCTACCCTGGAAGACTTTCAAAGGACTGTATGTAGCCAGTAGTGCCTTTAATACCAGGACTTAATGGTCTGCAACAGCAAGGGAAGATGTAGAACACCTTGTGCCAAATAACACAGCCCTCTCTCTCCCCAAAGAGTGGGAGGGGAATTTCAAGAGTTAGCATTCTACCAGTGACACACATAAACATATATTTGTTAAGTATGTTATATGGCATTATCTTTAAATTATAACTTACTAGGGTGTTTTTAAAGTAACCCTAAGACCTAAAACATTAAATTATTCAGTGGTATCAACTACTTTACAGTAGGCTGTTTTTTTTTCTCTTTTTAAGTCATACTGTTTCTTCCGAAAAAATACGTTGTAAGATAGGAGAATTCTACATTGTGGGAAAGCTGAACAAAATAGGTTGAAAACTAGTTCTGATAGCCAGTGCTTAGATGGAGGAAGAGAATCAGGAATTCAGGGTTAGCTTGAGTAGCATGAGAGACTTCCTCTGGGGGCGGGGGAGAACCAAACCAGTTTCTGTAGTGATGATTATTGTTGCCACTTAAAGTACAGCAGTGGCAGAATAGAAGGAAGGTTCTTTCTTCTGGACCAAAGGTAAATCAGAAGGATATTTAAAAGATGTCATGTCCCTTAATTTTTATTCATTTTTATTGGTAAAGGGAAGAGTGGTTTTGTGTTTATTAACTGCTCTTCAGTCTACTGAAATCTTACAAGGATCTGACAGTTTTGTTTTACATTTTATAGCTGCAGCTTATCTTCTGGTGTCCCTTATACCAAGCAATTCATTCCGCCAGATGTTCCGGTCAACAAGGTCTTTGCACATCCCAACCCGTGACCTTCCACTCAGTCCAGACACGACAGTAGTCCTACATCAGGTCTACAACGTGCTCCTTGGTTTGCTCTCAAGAGCCAAACTTTATGTTGATGCTGCTGTTCATGGCACTACAAAGCTAGTGCCCTATTTTAGCTTTATGACTTACTGTTTAATTTCCAAAACTGAGAAGCTGATGTTTTCCACATATTTCATGGATTTGTGGAACCTTTTCCAGCCTAAACTTTCTGAGCCAGCAATAGCTACAAATCACAATAAACAGGCTTTGCTTTCATTTTGGTACAATGTGTGTGCTGACTGTCCAGAGAATATCCGCCTTATTGTTCAAAACCCAGTGGTAACCAAGAACATTGCCTTCAATTACATCCTTGCTGACCATGATGATCAGGATGTGGTGCTTTTTAACCGTGGGATGCTGCCTGCCTACTATGGCATTCTGAGGCTCTGCTGTGAGCAATCGCCTGCATTCACTCGACAACTGGCTTCTCACCAGAACATCCAGTGGGCCTTTAAGAATCTTACACCACATGCCAGCCAATACCCTGGAGTGAGTACAGTTAATACTTTTAATATCTGTTTCCTCAGCTTGGTTAGCAGTGCATTTTTCCCCATTTAAGAAATGATGCAATACAGAATAGTCTAATTTTAATCATTCACCCACTTTGTCTTTCAATGCTGGGAATTGAACCCAAGCTCATGTTCCTGGGAGGCATGTGCTTTAGCAACTGAGCTATACCCCTCTCCCAACATATATATGCTTTTCTTTGAATTTATATCTTATGTGTATGAGTATTTTGTCTATATGCAACATTCAAGCCTCATGCCCATTGAGTCCAGAGGAGGGGCAGAATTCCTTGGTACTGGAGTTGTAGATGATTGTAAGCTGCCATGTGCCCAGTGCTCTTAACCTCTGAGCCATCTCTCCAGCCCCAACTAATCATCCTTAAAGACTTAACACGATAGCTTTCCTAAATACCCTTATATAATGCAATATAATCGACAAAATAGGTGATTATATTTCCTTATGCAGGTGTTAAAATTCTGTTTCCAGTGGCACATATCTTCTTAAATATGGTTTTGTTTGTTTGATTTGTTTTTTTGTTATTTTGAGACAGGGTTTCTCTGTGTAACAGTTCTGGCTGTCCTGGGACTCACAGAGATCTGCCTGCCTCTGCCTCCCAAGTGCTGGGATTAAAGGTGTGCACCACCACCACCCAGCATAAATATGAGATTTTTATATTGTTTTATTTTTAACTTTTGTATGGCATTAGCTTACATGTACATACAGACCCAATCTTATTCCCTTTTCTTTGAAGGGTACTTGTAAGTTTCATATTTTATTCTCCCTGTATGTAATATCATTCCTGGTTATTATGCTTCTCTTTTGTGTCTTACCGTTGTAAACTACCCTTTATTAGGTTAAACTGTTACTCATTGATGTATGGTGAGTTTAGAATCTCTTACCCAGAAAGAACAGCATAATTTCTCATTGAGAATTAGATTGCTTGTAATATAAGAAGGAAATGTCCAATCAGGACCACAAAGTTGAAAGCTAAGGATGAAAAGGGTGGAAACAGATGAGTATCTGTCACAGGCTGAAGAGATCAGTGGTAGTATTTATTTTCAGTCAGTTTGTCTCTGTCACGGTTCACATAAATAGCATTTAACTTAGTTACTGTGATACCCAGAGTTATATAAGCAGTGGTAAAAGTTGGCTGAGTTAAATGCCAGTCTCCTTGAGTTGGTTTCTGTTCTTGATGTCAGTCAGATGTAATCATCTTTTGTTGTTGTTGTTGTTGTTGTTAGAATTCAGTTATTAGAAATTTTCATGAAAATTTTGTTGTTAAATTTTGCCAAGAAAAATAAAAAGCTACACACTTTAGTTCATTAATAAATACACTATAAGCTCAATTTCACATTTATATAAATAAATTAATCACAGCTAATGATTTCACTAAATATTAATTCCCATATTTCATCACTGTCAGTCTAGAGTGATTGTTCTAAATGTTGATACAAAGGTGTGTCTCAGAAACAATATTAATTCAAGGGTTCATAAATCCTTAAGATAAAGCAATTGAGATGCCTTTGAGGGTAAAACCATTTGCCACTAAGCCTGATGAATGACCTCATTGTAATCCTTGGGATCCACACTCCAAAAGGAAAGAATGTTAGGTGTTCCCCTCCCCCAAAATAAATACATGGTTTTAAAAATATTTAAAACCAAATAAGGGTTTCTCATTTACTAAAGGACTAGAACAGAGGGTAAGTATAGCCTGTTGTTATATGCGCCTTTGAATTTAAAATAATAGTGTTTTAAACAGCATTAAGACTTTTATCTGTAGTATTGAATCTTTGTGAATTTTAATTTTAAGGGTCATACAGGTGTGTCCATATGCAGCTGCATTAACTCCAGGATAATCATAAATAGTGCCCAGCACAAAGTCATGAACATGAGGTTTTTATTTGAGTAACTTGATTACATGGCTCTCAGATAGGAGCTTTACAATGTCAAAGGTTAGACTAACAGGTGATAGTATATTATGTATTCAAATTTTAGGTAGATTTCACTACTGACTTTATGATAACTGGTCCCTTTAGTTGTGTGGTTAATCTATGATTTTAGTAGTTGGCTAATGAGTTTTAATAGTTGGCTAATGAATATTCGTTCAGAAGTGGGGTACAAATGTTCTAGTTGAAACATTGAAAGATCATCATTGCCTCTTCTAGGCTGTGGAAGAACTGTTTAACTTAATGCAGCTGTTTATAGCTCAGAGGCCAGACATGCGAGAAGAAGAATTAGAAGATATTAAACAGTTTAAGAAAACAACTATAAGCTGTTATTTACGCTGCTTAGATGGTCGTTCTTGTTGGACTACTTTAATAAGGTAAAAGGATATTTTGTGATTTTGGCGGGGGTGGGGGTTTGGGGGGATTGGTTTTCCAAGTAAAAATAAGGTACCTGTCTACACTAAAAGAGGAATAATTTTGATTATTTATAACTAAAAACTTGTTCTTTTAAAACAATTATTATTTTAAATACAGAGTCTGATGTAGCCTAAGTTAGCCTTTTATTTACACCATGTAGCTAAGGATGACCTTGAACTTCTGATCCTCATGCCTCCACCTTCCAAGTTCTGGAATTACAGATGCATGCCACTCTTCAATATTTATGTAGTGCTGGAATCTTCACCACCGAGTCATCTCTCCAGCTCAAACTCATTGGTTTTTTAATAAAAAAATTAGCATTGTTACACTGAAATTTAAAAATACTCTCATCATACCTTTCTCTTGCCATTGTGGATAAAGAATTGATTAGGCATTGGTAGACACGTTTTCCTCTAAATTACATGGAAAGATTTTATTTCCTTTTCCAGGTTAAATATCCCTTAATATGCCCAGAGTGCTTAGAAGTAGAAATGTTTCTGATTTCAGATAATTTGTTTTTAACTTTGGAAAATTTCCATAAACTTTACCAGCTGGGCAGCCATAATCCAGAAATCTAAAATGTCCCACAACAGTGAGCCAGCTGATTGGTTAATAATCTTGAGATTTCAGATTTGGGCTGCTCAGTCAGAAAAGTATAGTGTACATGCTTGTAATTCCACTTACGGTAGCCAAGACAGGAGGACTGCTATAAACTGGAGGCTGGTCTGAGGTACATAACAAAATCTCTTAAACAGGATAGAAACAAGGGGCTGGAGAAATGGTTCAGTGTTTAAGAGCACTGGCTGCTCTTTGAGAGGACCCAGGTTCAATTCCCAGGACCCACATGGTACTGTCTGTAACTCCAATTTCAGGGTATCTAGAATCCTCACACAGACATAAATTCGGACAAAACACCAATGCACATAAAATAAAAATAAATAAATTATTTAAAAAATTAAAAAAAACAACAGATGTAGCCAGTTTCTTTTATATGATAGGAAAGCCAGAAGCTTAAGCCAATTTTACTTGTGTTTGTCATCACCAGATTGTTCTTTCCTGTTCACATTGGACTTTCTCTATTCTTCCAGTGCCTTCAGAATACTGTTAGAGTCTGATGAAGACAGACTTCTTGTGGTATTTAATCGAGGGTTAATCCTGATGACTGAGGTAAATATTATATTGCATTTCCTTGTGAATGGGTCTCATTTTAATACTCTTTCCAAGACTTCTTACTGCATATGTAAAGAATGTCTGCTGAACTGTCTCACAGGTTCCTCCTCATCTTATATTTATTTCACTTAGTAAATAAAAATGAAAATCGTGGGTTTTTTTTTTTTTTTTTTTTTTGATCAAGGTTACACATTATTTCCCCAAAACTTGCTTATTTGGTGGAACCAAAATAGAAGGCCCTGAGACTTGCACAGGGCTGAAATCTGCAGACATTCTTTCCATGATTCTTAGTTCACAAGTGGGAGATGGTTTAAAGCTACCAGAAGTACATCATACTCTTTAATCTTATGCTGGAGATAAGGTAAAATTGTACATGTGAAAGTATTGCAGAAATTAAGATGTACTATTGATTTCTTGTTAATAATGTTATAGAGTAGGAACAGAATAAAAACTAAACTTTGAGGAATTTGGACATGGCAGTGATAAGTGGGGAAATATTCAAATAAATGACTTTCTGAGCCCAGAGGCAATAAAGTTTGGGCTTTGAGGATTTAAATGTCTACTTTATGCTAAGTATTATAACGAGAGAGACAATCCCTAGTCCATAAGGTTAAGATATCTTTATTCAGATAAACACCAGCCAAACACAAGCCAGAGCGTGCCAGGGACAGTGAGGCAGGCAGGCCAGAGAGAAGGGCTCCCATGTGCCTTGCAGCCCCTTAAAAACCTATCATGCCTCATCCTGACCTCACCTTGACCACGCCCTGACAGGCGTGGTCAGGCACACCTGTAGCCAGCCCTTAGGAGGTGTGGTTATGGTGTCTCCCTACAAAAGTATTGCACCAGGCAAAGGAATATAGCAAAAGAGATACAATTCCTATCCTTCCAGTTTACAGGTTAAATATGTGCAAAAACAGCCTCCATATTAAGAACTGTCACAGAACCTAGGCTCAGAATTTTGAACTTTGAATAATGTATGAACTATATAAACTGACTTGGGAGGATTAAAAGAAGGAATTCTTTCTTATATGCTAAAATAGAAAAAAAAGAACTAAAAATTTAATATGTTACCACTCCCTTTGTACACAGACTCTGGAAAGATAGCTAACATAGCTCCCTAGTCGTCCTAGTTCTGGTTGGTGCTTGCTTCTTTCTCATTTTTAAGGCTGCAGTATTAGGACAAATCAGATTTAATTTTGTGGGGGGTTTTTTTGTTGTTGTTTTTTGTTTTTTTTTTGAGATAGGGTTTTCTGTGTAGCCTTGGCTGGCCTTGAACTTGCTCTGTACACCAGACTGGCCTTGAACTCACAGAGTTTTGCCTGCCACTGCCTCCCGAGTGCTGGGATTAAAGGTGTACACCACCACCACACAGCACAAATCAGAAACTAAAAGGTGTGTGTGTGTGTGTGTGTGTGTGTGTGTAATGATATATATGTATCTATGTATGTATATGTATATATTTAAACAAGCTATTCACAGGCTGGAGAGATGGCTCAGAGGTTAAGAGCACTGGCTGTTCTTCCAGAGGTCCTGAGTTCAATTCCCAGCAACCACATGGTGGCTCACAACCATCTGTTATGAAATCTGGTGCCCTCTTCTGGTGTGCAGATATACGTGGAAGCAGAATGTTGTATACATAATAAATAAATAAAATCTTTAAAAAGGCAGCATGCCTCTAACCCCCAGTACTGAGGGGGTGAAGAAAGAGGATCCTTGGAGTTTGCTATTTAAGCAGTCTAGCTCAACATGCAAATTATAAAGGGGAAACCTTTTAAAAAAAAAAAAAAAAAAAAAAGTGCAGGGCTATGGGGATGGCTCAGTAGGTAAAGGTAATTTTCCACAAGCTTGACAATCTGAGTTTGATTACTAAGGACCCACATAATGGAAGGAGCACACCATGCTGTGCAAATTCTCCTCTAAACTTCACAGGCACACTGGGGTGTGCCTATACCCCCTCCCACACACACATAAATGTTTCCAAGATTTTCTTTGTAAAGATGAAGAATGATTGAGGACCGCACCCAACATGCACAGGTGTGCACATGCACAGGGGCAGTTTGATATAGAAAATAAGTAACACTTGCGTGTACCACAGTCTGAGTCTGGAAACACCTTTAGAACATAAACAATTCCATTTGTGTCAAAAGTATAAATACAATTAAGGGCTTTTAAATTTTTAAATTTTTATTCCCTAAATCACTTGTAGTCCTTCAACACACTGCACATGATGTATCATGAAGCTACAGCTTGCCATGTGACTGGAGACTTAGTAGAACTTCTGTCAATATTCCTTTCGGTCTTGAAGTCTACACGCCCATATCTTCAGAGAAAAGGTTTGTCATTTAACTTTTTATTTTTGTTACCAGTTTGCTACCATTAAAGAGAGTGTTTTGGTTTTTCTTTGTCTTACTCATTTCTGTGCTGAACTAGCTAATAAATGGGTAATGTTTATCATGCCCTCATAATGTAAAAGTGGAATATTCTTATATATTTTATTTATACCTGCTAGAAAACAATAGGCAAGCATACTATAAGAATCAAGATCTAGCCAGGCATTGGTGTTGCATGCCTTTAATCCTAGCACTCAGGAGGCAGAGGCAGGCGGATCTCTGTGACTTTGAGGCCAGCCTGGTCTACAGATTGAGTTCCAGGACAGGCTCCAAAACCACCAACCCTGTCTTACAAAACCAAACAAAAAAAAAAGTCAAGATCTAGGAGATTAGAAGTTTCCACGAACAGTAATTAGTTGCATTTTTTTTAAGCCTTCATATCTCAGATTAGGTTTTTTTTTTTTAATTTCAGTAGAAATAAGTGTAAAAAAATTTATGATTCTAGAAAGTGTGGTATATCAAGATGTTACCATGTTTAGCACCTACCTATAACCCTCACCTCTGGAGGGTGACCCAGGAGGATTGAAAGTCCCGGGCCAGCCTGGGCTGTATTTAGCAAGACCCAATCTCTCCTCTACCCCCTGGGGGGAAAAAGGTTGGTTTAATAATTGGCTTAATGTAGCAATCTCATGATCTCATGAAATTAACAATTTAGCTTTAATCAAACATGTTTTTTGTAATTAATTTGAAACTGGCAGTGTTAGTATCACAACAGAAAGAAAATTTGTGAGGAACTGTGATCATTAAAAAAAGCCCATTAAATTATGCTTTTACCTTTGCAGATGTGAAGCAAGCATTAATCCAGTGGCAGGAGAGAATTGAATTTGCCCATAAACTTCTAACCCTTCTTAATTCCTACAGCCCTCCAGAACTAAGAAATGCTTGCATAGGTAAGTTGCTTGAAAAATAAAAGTTGTATACAAGTATTTTATAGTTTGTCTTTATCTTTTGTTTTGTTTTTGTAAGTTGTGAGGTTACATTTATAGTGTTTGGAAGACAGTGACACTCATCTGTGTTACTGACACAGAATAACAGGTCCTAAGAAAAACAAGTTATTTCTTAATGTGCTAGTGTTAACATGTTTTGTAGGCAGAATATCTGGGTCTTTTTCAGTTTTTGTAGGTTTCTTGCAGCTCTAAAAAATCTTCTGATCCTAAATGAACAAGGTAGAATCATGTCAATATTTACAAGGTGGAACTGTCTGTGTAAAAGATAGGGTTAGTTGCTTCACTGTGGGTCTTTGGCCTTAAAAAGATTTCTCAGTAACTGTTGATAGACTCTTGAGAATAACACTTTTGTGACTGGTTACTTTCATTCTGTGATAATATATAGCTGTCAAAAGAATCTTCCATTTTAAATGTAGAGTGAAGTTTGTTACTACCTTAGGAACCACTTGAAGTAGTGAAGGTTACAGATTGTTAACTATTTGTAATTTCTCAAAATAGCATAAATAACTAGTTACCCATCATGATATTTACCTTTTTTTTTTTTTTTTTAAGATTTTATTTATTTATTATGTATACAGTCTTCTGCCTGCATGCCAGCAGAGGGCACCAGATCTCATTCAAGGTGGTTGTGAGCCACCTTGTGGTTGCTGGGAAATGAACTCAGAATTCAGGACATCTGGAAGAATAGCCAGTGCTCTTAACCGCTGAGCCATCTCTCCAGCCCGAGATTTACCTTTTTTAAAGATTTACTTATTTATGTATACAGTATTCTGCTTGTATGTATGCTTGCACACCAAAAGTGGGCACCAGATCCCATTACAGATGGTTGAGCGCCACTGTGTGGATGCTGGGAATTGAATTCAGGACCTCTGGAAGAGTAGCCAGTGCTCTTAATCTCTGAGCCACCTCTTCAGTCCAAGATTTACTCTTGTGTGATTAGTGAGTGGAGATCATTGTAGCCAATATCATAAAAACTTTAATTGCAGACTGCAGATTATCAGATATCTCTTAGATCCAAGTTGTTGTAATGAACTTTATAAAGATAAATAATCAGGGTATATTGCTGTTTGACTAGACTGTTTCTATTTCTACAAGTAAGCAAGGAGAATGGAGACAATAGTGATAGTGTTTAAATTTTTTTAAGTAAAGTCCCTCTGCTGTGGTTGTTACACTCTTGATCCATAGTTGGGCATTAGACAGTTTCTCCCTTTGTTAGGTGCTCAAACAGTGTGTACTACTCTCAGCACACTAGAGCCTCAACAGATTTTGTGAATTGAGAAGTAATGGGTAAATCTAACCCCAGTGTTTTAACTACTCTAAATCATTTTCATTTTCAGATGTACTCAAGGAACTTGTGCTTTTGAGTCCCCATGATTTTCTTCATACTCTGGTTCCCTTCCTACAACACAACCATTGTACTTACCATCACAGTAATATACCAAGTATGTATTTATCTAACATAATGCTTGAATATGGTTGGCATGTAATCATTCTGCACACTGAAGCTTGTAGATTTATTTTTCCATTTATTCTTATTGTACACTTTTAATGTCTTAGTGTCTCTTGGACCTTATTTCCCTTGTCGAGAAAATATCAAGCTAATAGGAGGGAAAAGCAATATTCGGCCTCCGCGCCCTGAACTCAATATGTGCCTCTTGCCCACAATGGTGGAAACCAGTAAGGTATGTTGGGATGCCAGGAAAACCGTATTTCTATAGTACAAGGTAATCTGAAATTTCCCCCTGGCGGTTGAGTCTGTTAGATATATGTAACGTTTCATGAATCCCAATATTAGATTCATTTGGATTTTTTTCCTTTAAGTGCTCTGAAATGTTGATATTTGCAAAATCAACAGTAAGCACAAGTTGTTAAGATTTTTTTCTTCTTCTAAAAGATAGTTTAATAGTAAACCTTAGTTTGTTACTAGGCTAAATTATAGTGTGTCCTGCATCTAAATCTACAAAGTCAAATTAGGTATTGGAATGTTTTCGATTTGGCCATATAATCAAGACATCTTTTATTATCCCTATAATCATATTCTCCTTAACCTACCCATAATGTCACTGTTTGATAGATTTATCATCTGGTTCCTATTCTCTAATGCATATGCTAAAATAGTGTCAATCTTTAATTATAGAGAAAAGCTATATTAACACAAGATATCTTAGTTCTTACATTTTTCAAAAAACATTTTTCCCTTTGGCTTTCTTCACCCACACCTTCATCCACACACCCTCTTGCCTACTATGCTTGGATCTTAAGTATATTTGGGCAATTCTCCATGATAAAACATTAAAAATAATTAACATTATAGTTACCCTTACAGAAATATCCTCAAATCTTTCCAAAATCAAATATAACTCATTCTTCTTGATGATATGTTTATAAAGTGTCACATGCTAAAATTTCAGTACTTTTCCTCTATTAGAGTATATAGGAATGATGGGTAATTATAATTGATAGTATTTGCACACTGACAATAAACCTACGACAACTATGATTTTAATAACACTAGAAATTTGGAATTTAAAACTAGATTCTTATAGAAGGTAAAGATTTAATTAGCTTTTTACTTAATCTTATTACATTTGCACAAAATATGCTCTTTATTATACAATTTAAGTGCAACCATTTTATCATCTTTAACCTTCAGGGCAAAGATGACGTTTATGATCGTATGCTGCTAGACTACTTCTTTTCTTATCATCAGTTCATCCATCTATTATGCCGAGTTGCAATCAACTGTGAAAAATTTACTGAAACATTAGTTAAGCTGAGTAAGTATAAAAGATGAGCAGTAAATTCCACTGAATTATTTTAAGCCCCTAGCCATTCAGGAAGGGGAAACATATATGACAATCCCTTTATTTTTTTTCTTTTTTAAAGTGAATGTTTAAAAATATCAATTAGTATTCTTGGGAATATCTTAATTTTTATTAAGAAAACACCAACTTACTGGTTTCCATTGAATAGTTCTGCCCAGAGTTTCAGCTGGCCTGTTAAGGAGTATGGAGTAGGGCTGATGATCACTTTGTACACAGAAGCCCAAGTCCACCAACTGCACAACGCAACTAAAACCAAACTGCCTTGCTTAGGGAGAAAAGTTTAGAGACAGACTTGACTTCCTTGGCCCTTATCTTGAGGGTGAGTCGAAATCTTTAGTGCCAGCTGTGCTTTGGAGCTGGTGGTGCCAGAAAAGCTGAGTGGGCTTGGCAGCGTGAAGCAGAGGTGCATATATGAGTAACTAGGAGGTAAGTCTCATAAAACGAGAGGACACATTTGAAAGGGTCAACATGAGCAATAGAAAAAAAAAATCTTTCAGTAGTTGTATGGGGGAGAAAAAAATTAAAAGAATGCCTAATACCTCTTTCCAAAGTCTGGACCTGGAAGTTCTGAGGTTCTATATGTCCTGCCTTCTAATTTTATCAAGGATGGACCAGGATCCTCTCCAATCTCTATAGTTTCATTTCAGAGTGGGGAGTAATACTTTTGAAAAGTACCACTTAGGAAACTACCACTTAGATCAAGAAATAGACTATAATCATGCCCCAGAATTCCTCTTTGTGTTCCATCTTAGCTACAACTCCCTTTCTTATGGAAAAGATTTTGGCCCATTCCAGGTAGGGCAAAAGATAGGATCCAGCCTTAGATTTCATTATCCAGGAAGAAGGAAGTGGTTACAGCTGTCAGGGATAACTCCTCTTCAGAAAAGTCATCTTATTGGTAAGTGTTAGCATATCTTCAGATTTGAAGGACTGTTTCTTCATTAGCTGATCATAGCTACTTATCTATGGATGATGCCAAGATACGGGGAGGTAAGGATATCTGTAGATTGTCTGTTTCAGAATTACACATCTGGGTTGTAGAACTTGGTAAAAGTCTGAAACTTTAGTAGTAACAATGGTCAGGTGTAAAACAATACTCAGGAGTTCTGATAGTATAGCCTTTGTGCTCAGATAAGAGGTGTTTCCAAAGATGCTGACCTTTGGAGAATTCCCAGGTAATTATGTTTATATAATTTATAACAACGTATGTAAAGAGTTGCTCTTGATACTTGGACAACTTTCACGGAGTAATGAATGTTCTATGGTTTTTGAGTGTCTTTTCATCAATGCAACTATGTATATTCGTGGAAATTAAGAATGGAGGAGTTGGGCCATGTGGTGCACGCTTTTAATCCCAGCACTCGGGAGGCCGAGACAGGTGGATCTCTGAGTTCGAGGTCAGCCTGGTCTACAGAATGAGTTCCAGCACAGGCTCCAAAACAATACAGAGAAATACTGTCTCTGGAAAAAGAAAAAAAAAAAAAAAAAAAAAAAAAAAAAAAAAAAAAAAGAATGTAGGAGGGAAGCTGAAGGTGGTAGCTCGTGCCTGAATCCCCACATGTGCAATTTCAACACCAAGAGGGCTGTGGCAGGAAGATGGCCAGACATTTAAGGTCTACCTGGGCTACAGAGTGGAAATGTCCACAAAAAATAAGCATAAATAAAGGGAAAGAAAGGACACGCTTGACATCACATGCCAAATCAACGTCACTCGTAACTATGAAGCACTGTTAATTCTGCCTTACTTAGTTTTTTTATCTACACGCTTTAATGGAATGTTCTATATAGTGTTTCGAGTATTCTCAACTGTACTATTATCCATGTATGGTAGTTATTAGCTGTGTTGGAAGGGTTAAAAATTCAAATGTGACAAAAGGAACTATTTTAAGGAATTCCAGCCAAACTAAGTTTAAATGAGCCAAATGGTGGCGTTTAGCACAAAACTAGATGCTAGTAGAGATTATTAATAGTTGTGAAAACCTTATAAATTAAAATACAAACTGACAGCCTAGCATAGTGGCATCTTTTAATCCCAGAAGATCTCTATGAGTTCAAGGCTAGTCAGGGCTATATGGTGAGGCAATGTCTCAACAAACAAAACAAACAAATCACAAAGCAGTTAATTAGAAAGAGATTTAATAGATAGCTACCAAAAGACAAAATGGTTTTAGACTTTGGTAAAATGGAAACTAACGAAAACCAGGACATGAACAGTTAATGTCATTCACACAACAAAAGTGTTTGTTAACCATATGAGAAGTTGTCCGCACTCATTAATGAAAAAGCACCCTCCCTAGGATGGGGAGGGCGGACTTGTTTGGGCTATACTCATTTTTCAGAGACTGAGAGAAGAACTGATGAATGGAATGCTATCAGTTCTGGGAGGCAATTTGGTATTGTCAGTTAAAATTTAGCATATTCCTTCCTTTGTCCTGAGCATAGCAGAAATTTACTCTGTTCTGCTCATACAACATACAGAGGATGTTTATTTTCACTTCATTCACAGTGTGTGGAATTGAAGACAATGTTCATCAATAAGAGCACATTTTAGTTTGTCATTTCATTTGTATTATACAGTCTTCAAAACAAACGACATAACATTCCTTGAGTTATATGGGGAAGAAAAACAACCCAGAAAATAGACTTGAAGGTATGTAGCTCAGTGATTCAGCAGTGAACCCAAGTATTGGGTTCAATCCCCAGCACTCAGGTTGAACAAGTAACATAAAGAGTATAACCACATTCTTAGAAAGGAGTAGAGTATCACCCTTAGTAACAGGCAGAAGGTCAAGCGTGCTTGTGCACACCTTTAATCCCAGCATTTGAGAAACAGAGACTGAGAGTTCAAACCTATGATGAGTCTACATAATGAGTTCCTTGACAGCCAGAACTACACAGTGGGACCCTGTCTCAAAACAAATAAACAAACACAAGTGAATAATATCATTGTAAAAGGATGAAATCATGGGGTGCATTTGTTTTCTAAGTTATATATCTGTAAGGGTGAAATTATTAATAATGACCATGTACTGTTTTTTTTATTTGTTGACATATGGTATCTCTATGCACTCCTGTAGACCAGACTGGCCTCTAACTCAGGGATGTGCTTTCCATTGCTTTCTTAGTGTTAGGTATTAAAGAGATTCTTCACCTTGCCCAGCTTGTGATTGGAACTTTTTATAGTCATGTAAAAAATGGTATTGGCAAACTATAATTAACCCCTTTTTAGGTCCTAGAGTTTATGAGCAAAATAAATAATAGGATGCTTATATAAAAGTTAAATAAATCCTTAAGTTTCATCATCATTTACATTTTCACTTTCAATGATAAAACAAGGGCCTTGTACCTTTAGCATTTCACATTTATGAAATTTTTCTGAATATGTTAAAAAAATTCTTTACAAATAACATACTTAAAACACAAAACAAAATATTTTTATGACAGGGTCTCATTGTGTAGGTTTGGCTATCAACAAACTCATGGTGTAGACCAGACTGGCCTCACAGAGATCCTGCTGCTGCTGCTGCTACTGCAGTGGTGCTGGAATTATGGGAGTGTGCCATTACATGTAACTAAAACTGTTGAAAGGCCAGGTATGTTGCTACACAGTTACTAAAGATTTATTTAAGATTTTTTTATTTTATTTTATGAATATGAATATTTGCCTGAATATGTCTGTGCACCAGGGTGTTTCTGATGCCTGGAGAGCCAGAAGACAGCCCTGGGACTAGAGTTACAGGTGTTTGTGAGCCACCATGTTGATACTGGGAATCAAACCCTCCATAAGAGCAACAAGTGCTCTGACCTGCTGAGCCATCTCTCCAGCCTCCAAAACTGATTTGACTAAATTAAACAAATATAAATCCATGGTACAGAAGGCACACTCTGATTCCTGCTTCTCTTTAGCATATAAAGTTATTAACTTGAAAATGGCTGTTTTCCCTAAAGGTGTCAAAGGGTAAATGTATTTCAGACCACCCCGACATCTAATGCAGATCCAAAGCTAACTTTATCAGACCACCAGGAGCAAATCCGTATGTGCTACACATAGTAACCACATATAAACAAACTTAAATTTTAAACTGCTTGCCAATTTGTTCATTTCCAGAAGAATTGACATGGATGATTGAATAGTACAGAGTTAGGCCATCACATTCTCGTAACCTACAAGGAGAGCTACATTAGGTTACTTAGTGGGAATGCAATTAGAAGACGAGTTCCATCAGATACTGGTATTTATAGCCTAAGGCGTCTTGATTATTTTATAGTAGAACATTACTCATGGGGCCTTTATCCACTAGCTGATGCCACTGGACAAATGCACACAGACACACACAATAGAAAAAATAAAGAAGTATACCTGAGAGCTTGGTGACTGCTTCTCCATGTGCTTAGTACCCAAAGAATGAGGTAGGTATTGAGGAGGAATATGCAGAGTTAAGAGAGTTTTGGTCTCTCACTCATCCCCAGTGCTTTGTGAAAATGCAAGAAAGTTCAGAAATCTGGAACTCTGAAGGAACAGCCTTCTATCCAGAGAAACAGCTTGAGAGGGAATTGGATGGACTGGAAGGTGACTTCAGTTACCCCTGGTTGGCATAGTGTTGTCTAGAGTTTTCTGTATAAGCAAGCTTCGGAAACTATCATTCTCAGATTGGTAGTTTGATGGGGGATGTCCTTTTGTATGCTGTGAGTCTATGTTTCTCTTATTGGTTGATGAGTAAAGCTGTTCCAGCCAATGGATAGGCAGAATGTGGCCAGGCAGGAAGTGTAGGTGGGGCTACCAGATTAGGAGAATGCTGGGAAGAGGAACACAGAAACTGAGTTGCCAGAGAGACTCCCTATAGCTACCACTGGTAAGGTAGGACACCTGGGCATTCTCCGGTAAGCCAAAACCACATGGAGATACATAGATGAGTAGTTATGAGTTAATAATTAAGAGAGAGGTGGCCAATGCCAAACAGTTTATAATTAATATAAGCCTCTATGTTTGTTTGGGACTAAATGGCTGCAGGACCAGGCAGAATCTTCAGTCTACAGTAATGTTCGTTGCTATATTACATAGTACATCAAACTAATTTCCTCAATGCTGCACTGCTTAAAATAAAGCTAACATGCTACTAGCCTTAGTGAATCTAAAAAGGAACAAGGCTGGGAAGTAGTTCACTGTTAAGGGTATCCCACTTAGCATGCTGAAGGCCTGGGCTAGAACTCCTGTACAAAGTGTGACAGGGGAAATATGTTAAGTAAACAGATAAAATATGAAGATCACAAAAGAATACCAGATGGTTTGAGTAAATGTAGATTACTGAGACAATTATAGATGTTAGAATTAGGTAAGTGTGGGATAGATGTAACAGGCTTTGAGATGAATTAAGAGACTATTAAAAACTCTCTGAGCCTAATATCTTCATTCAAGAAAAGGAAACAAGTTGAGCATGGTGGCGCACATCAGTAATCCTAGCACTTGAGAATTGGAGGCAAGGGCATGAGAACCCATCTCAGGAAAAAGCAAAAATCATCCTCCTGTTCCCTCCCCCGCAAAAAATAAATAAATTGAAATAAGGATTAAAGTAATACTTTTCAAAGCTGTGAAATTTTAATGTGTTTATTTGACATACCTAATACAGTAGGTGCCAATAAATGTTCCTTTCCTTATTATTTTTTTTTTCCGATGCAAAAGCAAAGAATCTTTTATTGTTTACGGAGCTAACTGCATTAACTCGGGACCTTTGTCCATTCATTGCTGTGGATGGCTGGAGAAGGATCTCCTCCTTAATTATAAAGTGGTTTTATATCATAAAAGACATCTTCAGGATTGGTTTGTAGTGATTAATGCTGGGTTTTTGTAGCTGTTGAAAAGTAAGGATTATTTTACTTTGAGGAACAACTGTTGAAGAAAGAAAAAGTTCATAAAAACTTCAGTGGTAATACAGACTTGCCATGAGAATTTACATCTGAACAGCAGTCTGGAGACTGGCAGTCTGAAGAGATGGATACTAGTAACAGACTTTACAAGCCACACAGTCTAGGTCATGTGTTCTTTGGCTTTTTGTTCTTTGTTTTAATGTTTTGTTCTTCATCAATCCTTAAAAATGTAAGCTTCCAGGTCTAGGAGTTCAACAGCTGTAATCCCATACTTCTGAGGCAGAGACAAGAGGATTGTGGGATCTAAGACTGGCTTGGGCTATGTGTCAAGAGACCATGGTGTCAAAGTTAAAAAGTAAAAACTATTCCTAACTCACTCAACCATAAAACAGGTGGCATCAGACTTGGCACAAGGATCATATTTTCCCAACCCTTGTTTTATGACCAGTTACAAAAAAAGAATATGTGACTATAGAAACTATTCCCACTGGGTGGTGGCGGCAGCGGTGCATGCCTTTAATCCTAGCACTTGGCAGAGGCAGGCGAATCTGTGAGTTCAAGGCCAGTCTTGTCTACAGAGTGAATTCCAGGACAGCCAGGGCTGTTCCACAAAGGAACCCTGTCTTGAAAAAGGAGGGGGGGAGGTTTGCACAGTTTGATGGCTTGTCTGTTTATATGTGCTATGACAGATAAATGCTTCCAACCTCATCCAGATTAGGTTGGGATAAAGGAAGGATGAGAATTGTCTTGTCCTTTGCACAAAACTAGTAGGTTTAATTCTGAAAGAGATCCCAAAGTATGTGATTTGCTGTTTAAAGATCTCAAAGCCAAGAGCTGGCAAACTATAACCCACCTACTAGTAGTTCCTAAGAAGCCAACAGCTACCTACTAAGAGTTGATTTCATATTTATATACTAAGAAAATCAGGATATAGTGTTTTATGACACATGAAAGTTACAATTCAAAAAAATTTGTTAAGTTTTACTTGTATCCAGCCATCCTTGGTCATTTGCTGCTGTCCCTGCCACTTTGGCATTGCCTTCACAGCCTTGACTAGCTACAGTGGGCATCAGATGGCCATAAGACCTCTTACTGTTTGCTCAACTCCCAACTCAACCCATACTTTTTGTTTTACTGGAAGATAGCTTATATTCTATTTCTCCTCTGTGGTCTTACTTTTCCTGAAGGTAGAGAGATGAAGAAGTAGGACATTTATGTTGCTGACATTGCAGCTTCTGTAAGAGAGGCAGGGAGAGTAGAGGGAAGGAAGAACATATGAAAATGTCCTTGACATTTAAAAATTAGAGATTTCAGAACATGGGCTGTAGCTCACTGGTTAAGTGCTTACCTAGCTTATGTGTCTGCACACCTGGTTTCAAACCCCAGGATAATGCACACAAGGCACAGAGTGCTAACAGCATTCACAGTCCCAAATCTGATCTACCCACAAGATCCTGAGGACAATCAAGAAGACAGTAGTAGAGTAGACTCAGCAGTGTTTACTTCAGTATACACAGAGAAAACAAGGGGAAGAAATGGGGTGCTTTAGAATGTAGTTCTCAACTCCTCTCCCACCTTTCTGAAATGTAGCAAACCTAGGAAATTTTCTAATGTCCAAGAAAACTTTGAAACCCCTCACATTTACTTTAATCTTCCCAGATAAGTTCCAGTACTCAAAAATAAAGAGCTGGTTGAAGTTGTCTTAGATCCTTCTGGGAATATAAAGGGTATATAAATAATAAAATATAAAATAATAAAATATACAGGGTATATAAATAAATTCACAATTCCACATTATCAGTTTCTGCAATGCTTAAAACATTGCAATGAGTTCTCTTGTAAGTGTTGTAAGTTTCTAAGAATACAGACAAGATGCATTTAAAACCAGAGGTAGCTAACAGTGTTGTACCTGCTGTTCAGTAACTAAGCAGTATAACTTATAACCTACTCTGATTTTTTTTTCTTTCAAATATTAGGTGTCCTGGTTGCCTATGAAGGCTTGCCACTTCATCTTGCACTGTTTCCCAAACTTTGGACTGAGCTATGTCAGACTCAGGTAAAGCAAGTGGTTTTTACATCATTGGTCTCTGATTTCATCCAACCAAATCCGGGGAATTTTTAGAACAACTGGTTGAAAACTAATTGGCTAGAAATTGGAAATGTTGTAGAATTAAGGGAAGTACTGCCTGCTGGAATTTTATTCCAACTCAAGCTCAAATAAGCTATTTATGTTGGATTTCTTATCCACGACTCAGTAGCAGCAGTTTCTGGGAAAATCTGAAACCCAGAGATAATAGAGGAAGCAAGCTCATAGCCTCCCAGCTCTCTCCACCCAATGGGTCTTTCCCTTTTCACACTGACATCCCTAGCAGAAACTGTGCTGCTTGGCCTTCAACTCTGCCCATGTTTTCTACCATCAGTCTCACCAAGAACAGGACAATTTTAGCTAAAACCAAATTGAACAGGAAAGGCTACTTCACCCTCTTCGAGTTTCAGAGAGTCATCTCCAGCCAGGTATAGTATGCTGGAGCAGGAGGATAGCCCCAAATTCAAAGCCAGCCTGAGCTATATAACCAGGTCCCTTCTTCTTCTTTTTCTTAAACAGGACCCCTTTTAAAAATAAATAAATAGATAATGGAAGTCTTTAATGCCAGTTAAGATGCTGAAGGATTTGTGAAGAAGGTAGCCAGATTAGTCTAACCTAAAGTTTGTCTCAGTCCTTGAATATGGCCTAAAGGGTACCCCCAAATATATAAACTATTCCATTTCCTTCTGGTCGCATCTGTTCACCATGCTGTACCATAATGGTTATTTCCTGCCCCAAACTATAAGACTGTATATAGCATCATCATCTGTTCCTTCAAGAATGTTAGTTTTCTGTAGTATTACTTATTATTTCTGAAGAAAATTTCTGAACTATTACTACAAACACAAAACATTGTTTTGCTTGTCTTCCTCTAGCAAATTGCTACAGTTCCACCTATCACTGAACACTGTCCTTTTCCCCACTTTAGTCCTCTATGTCAAAAAACTGCATCAAGCTTCTGTGTGAAGATCCTGTTTTTGCAGAGTATATTAAATGTATCCTGATGGATGAAAGGACTTTTCTAAATAACAATATTGTCTATACATTCATGACACATTTCCTTCTAAAGGTATGTATGTAGTTCTTCTGAAATGTCATTTCTGCTTAATTAATGTGTGCTTATTATGTTGGTCTTGAATGTTACGACTTATTTTGCATATGCACGCATGCACGGACATGTGTTCTTTTCTAGGTTCAAAGTCAAGTGTTTTCAGAAGCAAACTGTGCCAATTTGATCAGCACCCTTATCACAAACTTGATAAATCAATATCAAAATCTACAATCTGATTTCACCAACCGCGTTGAAATTTCAAAAGCAAGTGCTTCTTTAAATGGGGTAAGAACTGTGCCAAGAAGTTCAAAACTCACCTTAAAATCAAGTCTTGATAATAGTTAAACAGAGGCCAAATACAAGACTTTTCTGTTTAAAGGATGAGAAAAACTATTTTAATTAACTGTTCACTGTGCTATGTACACCGAAAGCACACACTTTACATTATTGAGACCATGTGTGACCAAATGGCATTCAGTATGTTAAGGGCAACAAGACCAGTAAGAATAGTGGCACACACCTATAATCAATCACAGCATTTTGAGAAGCAGTGGCAGGAAGACCACTGGCAAATTGGTAGACTAGCTTTGGAACATGAGTTCCAAGCCAGCCAGGGCCAGAGAGGTCTGACACTATCAAAAAACAAAAATAAGTCCCTTTATCTCTGCTTACATGTGCATTGAAATTTCTGATAATTGTATTGTCTATGGATCCCAAGTTATCAGAACAATCACTTAGGATTATAAAGGCAACTAAGACTATAAAGTATGCCGATTTGTGTAGATTGTATAATAGCCATAGAATGGAAACATGCGGACTGTCATTCAGCAGCAGCCCCCAACTATAAAGATGCTCAGAAAACTAACCAGCATTCCTTTTTCTTTCTTGTTCAGAACACCAGAGCTAAGCTTGAGAAATTTGAAATCACTATTTATGCCTAAGCTGCATTATTTGGTTTCTGTTTTAAGAGTCTTTACTCTGGCCTACTTGACATAGGCACAAAACAATGGTATAACTGATTCAACTGATAGAATACTGTAATGTCCTAATGCTGGGTTTAGCATTATTCCACATTGCCAGAGAAACCAGAGTAGTAAATTCCGAGGAAGTAAACATGTTCATTTACCTGTGAAGTTTTGTTTAAATGTTGCCTTCAGGCTTTGAACTCTTACTATCTGGGTTTTTGTAGGACCTGAGGGCACTTGCTTTGCTCCTGTCAGTACACACTCCCAAACAGTTAAACCCAGCTCTGATCCCAACTCTGCAAGAGCTTTTAAGCAAGTGTAGGACTTGTCTGCAGCAGAGAAACTCACTCCAAGATCAAGAAGCCAAAGAAAGAAAAACTAAAGGTTAGCTTTGTCAACTAAGTCATCGGCTGGGGCTGGGACTGAGGATGAAGACAAGCTGGAGGTATTCATCAGTGGTTGCTCTTGCCTAGTATTGCGAGCACTCAGTTTTGACCTCCAGCACTACCAAAAAAAAGGGGGGGGGGTCAAAACAAAACTGGCTTCCCTCACAATTGCCCCAGTAGGGTTTTAATCTTTTAAAGAAGATTCTGTTTTTAATATACTTTTTTCCCCACAGATGATGAAGGGGCAACTCCTGTTAAAAGAAGGCGAGTGAGCAGTGATGAAGAGCACACTGTAGACAGCTGCATTGGCGACATAAAAGCAGATACCAGGGAAGTCCTGACGCCCACTAGCACCTCAGACAATGAGACAAGAGACTCATCCATTATTGATCCAGGGACCGAGCAAGACCTTCCTTCCCCCGAAAATGGCTCTGTCAAAGAGTATCGGATGGAAGGCCCATCTTCATTTTCAGAAGACGGGTCACATATCCGGTCACAGCATGCAGAGGAGCAGTCTACCAGTGGCAGGTTTGATGACTGTAAAGAGTTTAAAGACCTTCACTGTTCCAAGGATACTACACTAGCTGAAGACGAATCCGAATTCCCTTCTACTTCCATCTCCGCAGTTCTGTCTGACTTAGCTGATTTGAGAAGCTGTGACGGTCAAGCTTTGTCCTCCCAGGACCCCGAGGCTGCTTTATCACTCAGTTGTGGCCATTCCAGAGGCCTCTTTAGTCACATGCAGCAACACGACATTTTAGATACCCTGTGTAGGACCATTGAATCAACAATCCATGTGGTCACAAGGATATCTGGCAAAGGAAATCAAGCTGCTTCTTGACATTAGATGTGGCATGTCTACTTTCAAGTGCCCCTCCCCCATGCCGTTTGTCTAAATTTTGCTTATTTGTTTTGTGCTTCAGTTTGTCCAGTGCTCTCTGCTTGAATGGCAAGATAGATTTATAGGCTTAATTCTTGGTCAGGCAGAACTCCAGATGAAAAAATTTGCATCTTCTGTATACTTTCTAAAGGGCAATCAGATAATGGATATGTTTTATGTAATTAAGAGTTCACTGTAGTGGCTTTCATTTAATATGGCTTTCTGGGAGAATCAGGGCTCTGACCCTGTACAACGTAATTTAAACTTACAGCATTTTTACTGTGTATAATATGGTGTCCTCTGTGCCAGTTTTGTACCTTAAAATAAGAGAGGCAGATTGCCTCTGATCGCTGTGGTTCTTATTATCAAAATTAAGTTTACTTGTATACGGAACAACCACAAGAAATTTGATTCTGTAAAGAATCCTCTTTAGCTGTGGCCTGGCAGTATATAAATGGTGCTTTATTTAACAGAATACCTGTGGAGGAAATAAAGCACACTTGATGTAAAAATAACTGTTTTATTTTTATTGAAATGACTGACTCTGTTCTGTGTACTTAATTAAACTGACTGTGATGACTTTCCTTTGTTACGTAAGTTGTTTCAGTTTCCTCGGATGACAGCAGTAAGCAGACTGAAGGGAGAAAGGACATGGCCATTCTGCTGTTTGAGAAGTCCCCAGCAGTCCAAAAAATAACTTACCATGTGGATGTCTCATTTCTCCATCCCAAAGTGTCTGAGTGCTTTGAAGCCACCAAGAAGAGCCAGAGAAGTGTGACAATGCAGCCACCTAGCCCTCACCACAACACTCCTAAGAACTACACCCTGAAAACTGAAGTAAAATAAAAGAATAGTGTAACATGCCATTTATTTGTCTTCAGCTTAAATCAACTAGCAATGAAGTAGCGTGTTGTGACCAGCCTTAGCTCAGGGAACTGGACTTCACCTACTTTCCAGAGAGGAACACCCATGGAAGGTGAGATAACACCTGATTTTATGAAGTGCAGTGTCTAGAATGCTTCAAGCAATGCTTTTAAATTTTGTCGTTTCATGAATTTCATCCAGTATAAAATAAATTAGGGACCTTGCGGGGGAGGGGACTTTTTGAGGAAGAAAGAAGAGGCAATAGGACAGGTTTCAGCTTACAAAAAGGATGTCCTTATAAAACCTAACTAGTTCAAGCATTCTGGGTGGTGAGCTGAAGTAGACCTTTTATTTCTTCAAAGTGCTGCTTCTGCCAACAGAATTTTGTATTCTCTTCTTTACAGACAGGAACTCCTTTACAGTCCAATTGTAATTCCGTTTGCCCTGGAGCAGGCACAAAATTCAATGCAACTGTTGCATAGTGTTCTGGGGGGAAAAACCAGGAGCCTTATTATGGCATCAGGAAGAAGAAACTGTCCATACCAGCTTTAGTTTGCTGGGCTTGCATATATAAACTGCATCTAACATACCTTCTGGCCAGTTTCTGCATCTCCACTTCATGATGATCTTCCTATTCGTTAACTGAAAACAAAGACATTATTGAAACTTTTCACAATACAACAGAAGAAACTACCCCTTTTCCAAGTTAATACTAGAACCAATAAATACAATCCTGTCTTCCAGTTTACATGCTAATGTTCTCCAATATCCTTGGCAACATTAATACCAAGGACAAAGCTATGGTAACTGCAGAGCTGACTGGAAAGGCCAGTGATATCTGGCAGCTTGGACCCTAATGACATAGAGTGCTGGAAGCAGCAGAACGTAAAGTCTCCAAAACAATGTGAAGCAGAATAGGAAGTGTTAAGCTGCTTTTTGAAGAATTACTGTCAAAGTAAGCCTTAGTCCTTATCATTTTATAGACACAGTATATAACATTTCTTTTCCACAATGAACCTTATTAAAAGAATCTTGAGACTGAACTCATCAAAACCTTTAAAACAAGTTAAGAAATAACACGAGTGGAAAGGAGCAGCCATCACCCCAGGTCACCACTGTAACGTAACCTTGTAGTTACTTACCAGTTCCACATATTCTCCAGTGATGTTCCCATCAAACATTTGGAATTTCCCTCCCTTTTCAGCTTCTAATACAGCAGGAGATTTGGAAAATTTTTGCACCAACTAGCCAAACAAAACAGACACATTATTCCAGCACATGCTGTCACCCTGTGCATGTGGTGGGGAGTATACCAGCCTTCCATGCCAGGCCAGTGTTTCAGCAACAGTGTGGTTTGTTTGAATTTTGTTGGACATCAAAGCTTTCTTCTTTAGGGAAACATAGATTCCCCCAACTGCTGATACAGTCCACCACAAGGGGCCATCGTCCCTTCAAGTTTCCCTGAAGCCCTTCCTTCAAAAACACTCTGTTCTTTTCTTTGCAATGTATGGTAGAGTAGCTTAGGGCTTTACTTACATCTTTCACAGTGAAGATACTGTACAGCTGTTCTACTGTCGTGTCAAACAGCTCCGTCAAGTGCAAAGCTACAGTGGGAATCCTTACACCCAGTGCCACTGGAGAAGCCTGCACCTCAAGATGAAAAAGAGGTTCAAGAGGATGGTGAGCACACCAGAAGAAAAGGACAGGATCTAAAGGTCAATCCTACAGGTTGCACACTGCTGCCCTCCACTCACATAACAACATTAGCGTTCTTTATTCCAGCAGCGGTGGCTTTTCCTCTACAAACAGCTTGTTTCTATGAGAACTTCACCTCCATTCCATTTCAAGGCTCTAGCTAAACACCTCTGAGCTTATTTAGACTGGCATGACAACAGGATGAAAGATGACCAGACTTTAAGGGGTTAATTCCATGCATACATTCCTGTTCCCTAATTCTGAAAAGAACATCTAGACTCTACAATCCCAAATTCAAGGCAGAACATTCTTCCACCATGCTATGTGAGCCTCAATGTCACTTGCTTTTGCTGGCTACGATGGCTCACACCTCTGCTCCCAGCAGTCAGAACTCTGAAGGAGGAAGATGACCATGTGTCTAGTCTGTCAACCAATGAAGTGCAAGGCCTGTTTAGTTTTCTCATTCATCAAGCATTGGAACCTCAGGCTAAAGGTGAGTTCTGTGGTAGGGAGCATGTCCAGCATCTAACAGTCCTCAAACTGGCACAAAAAAGTTGCATTTTGTTATTCCACAAAATGACATCAGCATTAATCTCAAGGAGAAATAAGTAGTCAACACCCTTTCCTCATCTGCAACCCAGTACCATCAAAAGGTTGTGTGGAAACTAACTGGAGGTGTCCTCCCTGATGACACACTAGCCATCGGCTCATACCTGCAAAGGGTTTCCAGTCACTTTCCTCTCAACAGTCAGCTCCTGGGTTGCTATAGCTTTTGTTGGTAAAATCATTCCTGTTGTAAATTCTACAAGGAAATAGGAAATTTTATTAGCATTATTTCCTTTATCTAAACTGGTATTTTTCAAAAGAACATTTTGAGGCCTTGAAAATAACTGTTTTTACATATATTACTGATGCTTATTTATAAGCGAAGGCCCTTTATTCTTTGTTTCAGTGCCTTGCTTTAGCATATTCCTTTAAAATGCTTATTTTTCACAAGTTGTTTTCTAAACAACTAGGTTGTACATGATTATTAATAGCTTATGGTCCTCATCTCTCCATTACCCTTACAAAGCTTACTCTCACTCGGTCTTCATGCCTGGGAGGTCTTGTAGGAAGAGTGGTGACCCTAAACTCATGTGTGTGAACCCCTGGACACTCAAATGAGCAAGCTTCAAGGACAGCAAGTTGCAGAGAAGGCCCTCCTGGCCACTCTGCCAGGCTATCAACTCTTAATTTGAGAAAATGACAACAGCCTAGATGTTATCTAGGTGTTATAGATACCTGTATTATCTGTGGTCACTTTTGTTCATATATTCATTCACTCAGCTAAGATTTATTGAGCACTTACTATGTGCCAGGCATTGTGCTAGAGATACAGCAGTGAACAAGAGAGATACCTTCCATACCCTCATGGAGCATATAGTCTAGCAGCCAAGACAGATATTAAACAAGTAATCACACAAGAACTACTCCATTGGAGAGGAGAGTGCATTTGTTTCTTTTTAAATAGGATCAAACTAGCCCCAAACCTGCAGCAATCCTCATACCTCAGCTTCCCTGTGCTGAGACTTTTAAGTGTGCCACTCAGGAAACAAGTGGCAGTTATTACAGTCTTACCCACAACGAGCTTTCAACACCCAGACTACAACTTATTCTGCAGTCTAAAGATGTTTCAGGAGCCTGCCTTGGGCCTCCAGCCCCCATGCAGAACATAACTTGGGTAAACAGCAAGGGACCCTGTGGTTCACAAGGGATGCCGCCTTTACCCGTCTTAAGTGCCTTCAGGTACTCTCCAAGGGCCTCCCTGACCTTGGCGGTGCCTGTAGTTTTCATAAGATCCTTCAGTATATCCCCATCTCCTTTCTTTTTACTCACGTTCACCTACAAATCAGAAAAATAAAAACCTAAGAAAAAATTGGTTGAATGTATTCTTCCAACATTGGATCCTACTGATAATCGAACTGTGGGTGGCAGAAGTGGTTCAAGAAACACAGGCTACTTCATGGTCACAGAGGAGCTAAGAATTGTTGAGGTCAGCACTGGCAGCCACGTTGTGAATGGACTGAATAGAAGATGAACCATTTAACTTGCTTTAAAATTGTCTAAGTACGGGAGTTAAATTGCTTATAGCTTTATCTAGAGAGGGTCTAGTATGGCAGCTCATCTGTGGCTGAGCATTTTACAAGTGCCTGGTCTGAACTATGCTGTAAAAACTAATACACCAGATTCCAAATACTGAAGAAGAAGAAGAAGAAAAAAAAAAGGGTAAAGTACCTCATCAATTGTTGGTTAATTATATGTTAAAACATATTTACTCTCTACTGGATTAAAAATTTTAATTATTTTATCTGATTTTTAATGTGGCTACTAGATAAATTACATTATGTGGCATTTATACTAACAGTGCTGGTCTACAAACCCAAAGCCACCATCCAGAAGAATCAAATCAAGTTCCCATATTCTTGGCAGAGAGAAAAATAAGCTATGGAAGAGGAGAATAACTCAAAGGAGACAGGGATGCAAGTGGTCCCAATGATTCTGGGCTGGGCTGCATCTGATTTTGACATTTACTCGGCCGCATGCTACTGCAAGACAGATCTTTAGAAGATCTTTAGGACATTGCACTGTTGATGTGCTGATGAGCTCTATGTGGTGAAACTACAGCAACCAAGTACAGCAAGCTAAATCTCAAGGTATGTCTGAGACAGGCCCACTTTACAAGACCTGAGAAATATTTAGACACAGCTTTTGTCAGTGTCCAGCTTTGGAAATTACAGCTGCTGTACAACGGTCTTGCCCCCCAGAGACAATGTGAAGAGTCAGAGTGGGCATAGGAACAAGCTGGCTCCTCTTAAGGAGACAAGAAAGCCAGCCAGTCAAAAGTAACTGGTTCGCCGGGCGTTGGTGGCACACATGCCTTTAATCCCAGCATTCGGGAGGCAGAGGCAGGGGGATCGCTGTGAGTTCCAGACCAGCCTGGTCTCCAGAGCAAGTTCCAGGACAGCCTCCAAAGCTACACAGAGAAACCCTGTCTCGGAAAAAACAAAAACAAAAACAAAAACAAAAAAACAAACAAAAAACCCCACAAAAACAGTAACTGGTTCCTTAAAAAATAAAAAAATTAAAAAAGAAAAAAGCAGTAAACCAAACGGGGAGGGGTAGGGGAAAAAAGTCACATTGAGCAAGCCACGAAAGTGGCCTGAGCACTTGAAGCACATGCCTTGTCACATTTAACCTGAATACATCCCTGAGGATAAACTGCACAGATGAGAAAGTCAGAGGCTGCTGCAGTCAGGTACTTGCCCAGGTACCACACCTGGTCCTGGGAGTATGAAGCTTCTGAGGCTTCCTCTCTCCCACCTGTGCTCCACCTCTCACACACCCACAGTGCAGTGGCAGACAACCTCCACAGTCACAACTACCACAGAGCCGAGTGAGTAGTTTGCAAGTGTCCAACACCTATAGCAGAAGCTTGACTAAAAAGGAGAACAGCAGATACCTCAGTGTCATCAACTTCATTTTCTTCAGAAAGGCTGGGTATTTCAATTAATCCCTTGTGTTTTGCACCAGATTCTTTAATTGTACCTAAAATGAACAAAATGGGCACAATTAATAACTGGTTTTATTGAAAAGTCCTCTGCCCCCTTACAGGGTTATGGCCACATCAGAGAACAACCAAGACAGGGTGGATGGATCAGCCTACGTGGTACACAACATGGTGCTCAAACTGGCAGCCCTAAAGGACCTTTGTCACTGTCACTCATTTCTCTTGTCTTTCAATGCTCTTTGCCAGGTCAAGCAAAAAGGGCTATTTTGAGGAAAAGAAGATACCAGAGTGACAAGTGGGCAGAGAGGGACATGAGGACAGAAAGGGAAAGTGAGCTCTGACCATGGAAAGCTTCAAAAGCTATGGCTTGGCAAAGTCTGTGTGGACTTGAAGTTGGATTTCTTCCCAGACAAAAGCCTCCATGTCCTTAAGGACACACAGCGGCAAAAGTCCTTGCAGCCAACTTCTGGTTAGACTTGGACATTTCCTCTTGTTTTAATTGCACATCACTCTTATTATACTGGTGTGGGGGGGTGTTGCAGGGGAGTACTTAACATAACTTTACCTCATTTTGAGGACCAGGCTCACAGGCAGGGCTATATAACTGCAACAACATTCATCAACAGTCACACGGAGACAGTCAGGCAGTTCATTGCCACAAAACAAGGTAAGAAAGGGCTCTACCACCCACAACATGCTGCCCTCCAGTCCCTTATGAGTTGACTTTCTGCCACATGGGCAGCAGAAGTGACTGATTTTCTGAGCCCCAGACCATATATGGGACACCTTCAAATGCTGGGTGGAGTTTTTGTTGTTTGTAAAATCTAACACATTAATTTAATCCAGAATTCATACCTTCTGGGGTCTGGAATACTTGTTTATTTTTCAAAGCACAACACAGGTCACACTCATCATCTACTGAAAGAACAAAGTCCTGAGACATGGACCCAACTGCAGAAAAGTGCAGACCAACTGGCAACAAACACAGACTCTGGCCATCCTCCTCAAACAGTGTTAGCAAACAAACACTGGCAAAACCTTCTAATATCAGAGAAGCCCTCCCTTGGCTTGGACAGAGAGCGGAGGCTCCAGAAGTGCTACTCTAGACTAGACTCCCTGATGGGAATGGATGCAGAAGTCAGAAATACCAAAGTGCAAAGGTCAGCCCCAGGTCCCCATCTACTGCTTCAACTTGAGACACCCACGAATGTGGTCAGTGTTGACTTGCAAGGGAGGTGCCAAGGAACAGAATAAGGGGAACGGGGTCCTCAGGACACTGGCCTGCCTACTTGCCGTTACTTCTTGCCCTTAGCAGCCATAGGTTCCATGGCTTTTTGCCCATTTTGGTCTTCCCCCCCCTCCCAACCTATCCCCAAGGAACTGCCCAGAGATGATGGGCTTCAATGTCTTGTCCCACACATAGACAACAGGAACACCAATTGTCAGATTCAGCTCCATGATGGCCTCTTCAGAGGGACCTTCAAGATGCTTATTCTACCTGAAAGACTTTTTTTTTTTTTAGTTTTTTACATATTTGAATTACAAACAAGATTGAATTACATGACGATCCCAGTTCCCTTCTCCCTCCCTACCTCCTCTACCACCCCCCCAACTAAAATCCTATCATATGTCCTTTCTTCTAATCTACACCTGACTCAAAATTTCTACTTCCTCATGACCTCTGCATCCTTCCTTTTCTTCCCTTCTCACTCTTGTAGCTTCCTCCCTGAAAGACTGTTTTCATGGCAGCAGTAAATGTTTCTTTCCCATCTTGGGTCTGGGGAATCTATTTTCTTGTCATGCAAAAAAGTGGTTGTTTGGGCCAAGGGAAATGAAAACATACAGGCCATGCATGAGGTTCTCCAGAGTCCTGCTACAATCCAGCGAGCAGCAGCCAAAGAAAGCAAGTGAGGGCAACTCCCAATTGGAGGGATAGGTCTACTCATAGTCAGGGGTAAGAGTGCTTGAATGCATGTGCGTGTGCAAGTCCCTTAAGAGCTAACTTAGAGCCTTCTGCACACTAGGTAAACATTCCATCCCAAGCTACATCCCAAGCTCTTGGCTTTTATGAAGTATATCTATGTAGCTCAGGCTAGCTTTAACTTGCAGGGAATTTTCTGGGACTGCTTTGATGTTTGAACACCTCGACTCCTGTACAATGACATCAGAGGCTGGGCTTTTATCGAACACAAACTACCCAGAAAGGAACCAACTCAAGAGCAGAGACCCAACTGTTTAACACAATGCAGTCTTCCATAACCGGGTCTCTCTTTTTGTCCTCTCCCTGCCCTGGGTCTGATCCTTGGTCATTCCTATAAGTATTGAGCCAAAAGTTAAGTGCCATCGGAGAATTTGGCGAAGACAAGAAAATCACTAACAGAAATGTCTCCATTGGTAAAAAGACAAAATGTGGTCTAGCCACACAATGGATATAAAAAGCATAGCATACTGAAACATGGTACAGCATGGAATGAAACCCTGAAATCAAAGCAGAGCAGGGAGCTTTACTTATCGTCATGAATTGTCATAGGCAAGTCTACAGAGCAAAACTTAGGCTAAAGACCCCAGGGGAGGGCTGGCAAGATGGCTCAGTGGGTAAAGGAGCTTGCTGCTGGAGCCTGGTGACTTGAATTCAATTCCCGGAACCCAGACAAAGATGAAGAAAAGAGCCAACTCCACCAATGTGTCCTTGGACCTCATTTATCCACCATGGCACAATGCTCCAACTTTACATACATACATATATACAGTGTTATAAAAGACCCAAAGGAGGGTTAGCAAGGAGGCACAGTGTGTAAAAGCACTTGCTACCAATCCTGCTAAAATCTTCAATCTTTAGAAACAGCATGGTAGAAAAACAGAATTTTCCAAGTTGTTTGCCTTCTATACATGTGCTGTGGCACACAAGTCTGTGTGCACACAGACAATTTTAACTTTTTAAGTAACTAAAAATTTTTGAGGGAGCCAGGCATCTGTGGAGGAAGGGTACCTCCAGGCAACAGCTCCATGAAGCCCTAGTCACAGCTGCTGGTAAAACAGGGTTCAGCTGAGAGCACTGCCCTTCAACCAATTAGGTTGCTGGGAGAAGCAGTTTCAGGACCCAGCAACTCCAAGAATATCAACAACTACTACTGCTAACTAAATGGAAAAACTGCCCAGCCTGCCTCTTGCCAGGGCCCCATTACCTTTCCAGGCCAGCTTGATGTTCCACTCATAGAAGAAAATAAGCTTTCCTTTGCGGCTGCTACAAGAAGCCTCACCTTCCACCTGCTTCAACTCACTGATCTCACATCGGCCAGTCTCATTCTCCATAGCAATGCCAACCAGGAGCTCTCGGAGCTTCCCCTTGGACCAAACGGTGGCATCCCGCTCTGTCCTGCCAGAGAACAGAAAGACACGAGTGAATGACCCGGCTGGCCTCCATCTGCCCAGCCACATGCCATCCTGACCTACCCCAGGTGAGCACTGTTACTCACACAAACTCCTGCTTGCAAATGTGCTTCTCCGACTAAGTTTCTACTAAGCATCATCTAAGCCCACTGCTCAGTTTCTTAAAAAACTATTATTAATCATACAATAATGGGCAATCATAAAAACAATGGCCACGGGAAGGAGAATCCAGCAATCTCACCCACATTCCTGTGGTGTGAGGCCATCTGTAACGGTGGTAGTCATTTAAATAATCTTAACCACAATATCAATTATTGAGCCTTTCCATATTTGGTTTATCTTATGCACTTTCCTTAATGCTCCCATCTGAAGGGATAGAGAGCGGCTGTCAGAAGTCAGTGTCCTAGTCACCAAACCCAACCTAGAACACTGGATACCATTCTTTCAGGACAGCCAAGTCATCTAATGGTGCGGACCAGGCTCTGCCCTTGGAATTGCTTCAGCTTTCCCCAACGCCCGCCTGAGAGGCAGACATCTCTCGGTATTCCAGACACAAAGGGGGCAGGTATCTAGTGCAAACTGAGACAAAGCAAAGAAAGTGAGATCCAAGTCCCTGCCCTTCCAACTGCACACGGATCCATCCCTCGGCACACGCACGCGCACTACGCAGCTCAAGCCCAAGGAGGGCCTTGTGAGGGGCTACCGAGGCACAGATGTGGGGGTGAGGCAGAAGTCCCTCACGGGGCTTGGCCCAACTTTCAGAAGGAGGCTGAAGCCGGAGGGCCAAGGCAGTTACGAACCGTC